TGGCGACGGCATGGCGCAGCGCGTCTGTTGTCCCCGCGGGAATGATCCTGCGAAGACGTCTGTGTCCCCCGCCGAATCACGGTAAGTACTTGGGAAGCCTGCTCCTGTGGCAGCCATTTTGTGGCGGTACCCACCACCCTGTATCAGAATTCCAGAGGTGTCCACAGGCTCAAAAAGGTTGGGGGCCCTGGTCCGCTGTGACTGGCAGCACCTCTCCAGGGCATCAGGTCTTTCACATCATTTACCACCCGGTTCTTTTATCTGGAGAGATCAGGTGTGGAAACTGGGGCTTTCTGCATGCAACACACGTAGTCTGCCACTGAGTCACCCCATTCCGCACAGGAAGATGAACACATGAAGCAGCCTTATATCGAATCAGATAATTGGTCTATCAAAGTCCCTATTGTCTACTGTGGCTGGCAGCGGCTCCCCAGGGTCTCTGGCAGACAGCTTTCATATAACCAACCATCAGACCTTTTTAATTGGGAATGCTGGGGATTGAACATGGGACCCTCTGTGTGCCAAGCGGATGGTCTGCCACTAAGCCACGGCTCCTTCCTTGAAGGTTGCCGCTCTCTGATTGCCATTTCCTAGCAAAGCATACTTCTTTTCTGTTGCATCCTGTATATGGTATAATACCGTTATCTGGTTTCCTACAGCTTATTTCCCTTTCCTCTTTCACCAGGAGCCTTTCTCCAATAATATTGGTGTGAGGCACCCTATTGTTAGCACTGAGGGCTGCAGGGACATTGTGGGATGGTTTTGGAAAGGGCTGCACAACACTAATGCTGCTTAGCCTGCCATCACACCCTTGGTGGTTTGTGGTTGACCCAACTGTGTAGCAGATCCCGAGGGGGGGGGGAAATGAAGAAATGGATGAAGTAGTGGAGGAACCGGTAAGGGAGAAGTGCCAACAATGGTTTCTCTTTTGTGTGAGCAGCCTAAGGGGTCTGTGGAAAAGAGAGTTATTACTTATTACCAGGGCTATTTTTGGGCAGGAACGCACAGGAACGGAGTTCCGGCTGGCTCCCAAGTTGGCCACCCCAAGCAGGAACTCATTAGCATAATAGGCCACACCCAACAGCAGAAACTCATTCGGATTGGCTACAATTAGGAGTGTGTGGCCTAACATGCAAAAAGCCCTGGGTTTTGACAACAAACAAGGTAAAGAGAATAAGAAGCAAAAGGTGGGTGTGGCTGGATGACCACACTTCTGGCACCATGGGGGTGTGACCTAATATGCAAATGAGCTGTGCTGTCAGGGTGTGGCCTAATATGCTAATGAGTTCATGCTGTTGGGTATGGCCTATTAAGCTAATGAGTTCCTGCTGGGCTTTTTCTACAAAAAGAGCCGTGCTTATTACTATAGCCTTTAGCAAAGGCTTGGGAAGGGTTGGGAGATTTTGGGGGTGGAGCCTGCGGAGGGAGGGGTTTGGGGCATAATGTTGTAGAGTCCAACTTCCAAAGTGGTCGTTTTCACCAGGTGAACTGACCTCTGTTGCCTGGAGATCAGTTGTAATAGCGGATGATCTCCAGCTATCACCTGGAGATTGGCAACCCTATTAACTGCACCGACGCTTTTTGTAGCAGTTTGTTATGAAAGGAGATGGAACCTCCAAAGTGGGCGGATGGGAATTGTTTACCACGTTGCCCGCATGTTTTCACATATGTCTATACAAGCTTGAGACCAACATATTTAAAACAATTAAATGATGTACTTTGCCCTAGACACATGCAGGCTGAAAGGAGTTTGACATTATGAAGGGAATCGCCAGGGGTCGTTTCGTAAAAAAAGAGCTAGGGGAACTCATTAGCATAACTCATTAGCATATGCCACACCCCCTAACATCACCGGAAATGTGTCATAAGGCCACACACCCCGCCCCCAACGGTCCCGGCCGCCGCCGCCAGCCTTGCAGCTCCACTGCCGAGCCCCATGAGGGGCCCGGCGGTGGACCTGCAAGGCCGGCGGGAGTGCAAGGAAGCCCCGCGAAGGCCCTCCCTGGCCCCAGGCAGGCAGGGGTGGGGAGAGGCAGGGAGGAAGCAACTTACCCTCCCTCTTCTCCTGCCTCCTCCTGGCTGAATGAGGGCCAGAAGCGAGGCGGCCGGAAGCAGGGGGCGGGGCTTCGTCATGTGCCCTGCCCCCGTACCTCACCCGGGGGAACTGCGATCCCCCGCGATTCCCCCCGAAATGACCTCTGGGAATCGCTAAGGATACACAGTGCTCAACAGGAACATTGCGGATGTATGGGTGTAGACTTAAGAGAGGGCTGGGTCCAGCAGTCTGTCAGTGGGAACTGGTGACGGCTGCAGATCTTTCCCATTTTCCCCTCCCCCAGAGCAGTCCCATCCAACCTTGGGAATGTGTATTCTTGGAACTACAGGACCTGCAAGTTGCCAGACTCCAGGTAGAATAAACAAAACTGGGTTCGCAGTGAATTAAACTGCAAAAGAGCAACACTCACCGTGATGAGTAAAACCTTAATGTATTTTGCCAAAAGTTATACATGTATACAGTACGTACATTACTTAAACAATTCTCCTTTTTATCATATATTTGAGGATCTTGCAATTATATAACTTGTTTTCTAGCTGAAGTCTTTGAAATCCTCAATAGTAATAAATTGAACACTCTGCATATGGGGTATCTTTACAATCCAGTATTCTAATACACTGTGGTTAGTAAAGGTAAAGGTTCCCTTGCTCGAAAGCCAGTCGAATCCGACTCTAGGGTTGCGGTGCTCTTCTCCGTTTCAAAGCCAAAGAGCCAGCACTGTCCGAAGATGTTTCTGTGGTAATGTGGCCGGCATGACTAAACACCAAGGCAAACAGAATGCTGCTACCTTCCCAACGAAGTGGTACCTATTTATCTACTTGCAATTTCTTGCTTTCGAACTGCTAGGTTGTCAGGAGCTGGAACTAGAGATGGGAGCTCACTCTGTATTGCGACACCCGGGTCTCGAACTGCTGAACTACTGACCTTTATACATAATCTTCTTGGAAATGAATTCTCACTAACAATAAATTCTGAGAAGTGGCACTTCAACGTGCCTCAGCTGTATACAGCTCAAGAAGATTATGTATAACTTAACAGAGTGTAACCACAGTGTATTAGAGTACTGGATTATAAAGATACCCCACAGATAGGGTGTTCAATGTATTACTATTGAGGATTTCAGTTAGAAATATTTCAATTAGAAACTAAGTTATATAGTTGCAGAAGCCTCCTGGTAGGGCTAGTTGGAGGTTTCCTGGAATCACAACTGATCTCCAGACTCCACAGATCAGTCCCCCTGGAGCTAGGGTTGCCAGATCCAGGTTGAGAAATAACTGGAGATTTTGGGGGTGGAACCTGAGAGCCTGAGGAGGGCGGGGTTTGGGGAGGGGAGGGACTTCAGAGGACTGTAATGCCACAGAGTCCACCTTCCAAAGCAGCCATTTTCTCCAGGTGAACTGAGCTCTGTCACCTGGAGGTCAGTTATAATGGCGGGAGATCTCCAGCTACCACCTGGAGGTTGGCAACCCTACTTGGAGTAAATGGCTGCTCTGGAGGGCAGACTCTACGGCATCACATCCCTCCCTGAGCTCCCTCCCCAGACCTCTCCCTCCCTAGGCTCTGCCCACGAATCTTCAGGAATTTCCCAGTCAGAAGCTGGCAAAACAGGGCTGACTAATAGCTCCACGGGCTGGGGGCACGGCAGTGTGGACGCAGAAGGGGATTGTTAAGTCGCTCGCTTAACAAATTAGTCGGAGAGTGATTCAGCAAGAACACAACTTTATTCTTCAACTCGAACATAACTCCAACACGGATCAACATCTGATAGCCAGAACAGCCTTTACATTGCAGCTGGCCTGCCTTTAAACTCTCCTGGCTAATGTAGCCACACCCACTGTACAAATATCAACCTATGAGGTTGCAGAGATAAGGTCCAATCACGTTAGTTCCCGCTCAGGGAGCTTGCTTGAAGTGATTGGCTTGTTACCTCCTGGGCTAGCAATACTATTGGATGGATTTGGATCCTAGCCTAGGACGAAGCTTAACATTACAGTTCAGTTAGATGTTTCACATGTCATGCATTCAAGGCAGCTTTGAATACACTACAGGGATGATCTCAGAATTTCACGCATTTTAGCAGGTTTTACCCTGTTGGGTTTAGGAAGTTAAAACACTTCAGTAACTATAGAGTTAACTTTATTTGTTTGGTCAACAGGAAATGGCATATGTTTTATTGTACCCAATCTGTTGACTAAGAACTTTGAATAATGGCTGCTATGGTCATACGGACCACAACGCCTACTAGCACTTTATTATGCTTTTAGAATTGTTTTAAGTGTAACTTATGTTTTAATGTAACGTATCTGTTTTTATGTAAGCCGCCCTGAGCTGGGTTTGGCCGGGAGGGCGGGGTAGTCATTCGAAAAATAAATAAATAAATAAAAAATAAAGTGAGAGAAAGCCCGGAATCTTGTAGGAGGTCTTAGTAAAATGACCTGAACTTTAGCTCTATGATTGGAAATCAGTGCATTGGCTGTTGAGCATATTGGGGTCTCTTCCTCCTTTTGTTTGGTGAAGAAGAGACGCCCTTCCTGTAGCATCTTTCTAGCAGTAAACATGTAGGATCTAGTGTTTGTTATTTAGCATCCTGTTTACCTTTTCCCCAATGTTAGTTCTAGTAAAGCTTCTATTTTTGAAACATACACATGGTCCCCGACACTCATTCATTGCTCTGCTGACTTAATCTCTGCTTAAGTATATTTTTTCCTGAGAATATCTTTCAGACCCCTGGTTCTGTTAAAAGCTCAGAAACACCAAGAAATTCTGTGGTGGTGACAGTGGCTAGCTTCAAAAAGAACCAGATGCTGGGGCCAAAACAGGTTCTGGGGTTCATCTCAGAGGTTGTGAGGTTGAACTTTGTCCTGGTTGGGGTTTTAAATATGTACATTATTAGTAGCTACAGAACAAGTCGTTTATCACCTTGTATGTTCCCTCTTCTTCCCAGAACGCCTTGGCAAAAGCGTTATACGACAACAAAGCAGAGTGTCCGGATGAGTTGGCCTTCCGCAGAGGAGACATCCTGACGGTCCTTGAGCAGGATCCCCTTGGGAGTGAGGGCTGGTGGAAATGTTCCCTCCATGGGAAGCAAGGCCTTGCTCCTGCAAATCGCCTCCAGCTGCTTACTCCTTCACAAGTCCCCTCTAACCTGCGTTTCTCTCAAGGCCTCCAAACCAGCCCAGGAACCATCTATCAGGTTCCCTCTGCCCACAGATCTGCAGACCGAGCAGCTCCGGTCTATGAGAGAATGGACAGTTGGATTAAGCCTCGCTCTTCTTCCCTGCCGAACCAGGATGTGTACCAAGTGCCGGCTTTGGCTGCAAAACTGCTCAGTGAAAAGACTCAGAGCTCATCAAATCAGGTAAAGATGGAAGCAGTGCCTCAAAAGGGAGAGTAGCCATGAGCCGCAAACAGCAATCATGGAGAGCCACGAAGAAGTGTGGATGTTTTTTGCTTCCCCCTTCTGCTCTTTCTCCTGGTTGATTTTCACAAGGTGGAGCTTTCAGGCACCCCTTTTGGTGTTCCCCTACCGGCACTCAGTTGATTGGCAGGAGGGAAATGGGTGGGGGGAACAGCATCCTGTGATATCACGCCTGGCTGCATAACGGAAGGTGACATCACTGTGTCATAGGATGCTCTAGGATTCCTCTCACACTCTATGGTTTTAATGTTCTTGGACTTCTGGTACTTCTATACACAAAGTAGGTACTCTATCGCTGAGTGGCTGCTCCTCCCCATGGCTTGGATCTAGATTAGATGTTTCCACAGGCTGAAAGATTTCCTCCTACAGAGCACAGTTTTCCCACCTCTCTCCTCTTGTGGCAGGCTGAAATGCCTCCCTGAAATTCTGTTCCGGGGGGTCCCCCATTCTCCAGAACAGGATGGGGGAGATTTCAGATTGCCACGGGGAACAGGAAAATCACATTCTGAGTATGGAACTTGTCATCCTTGCAGAAACTTTAGCCTGGATCCAACCCTATGGCTTTTTAGGGCCAAATTCCACAATAGGAGTTCCAGTCTCAGAACTACAGCATCACAAAAATAATTTGTTTCTTCGTTAAGCCTTAACTTCTCAAACTGCAGATTGGGGACTCAAAAGTGGGTTTCAACTCTCTTGCTGATGACTCACGAGGCCAGAAGGGAGAAGGAGGGATAGGGTAAGCTGGGAAAGGAGGGCTACCTACCCCATCTGAGTTTGTCGCTGCCTTATAGTTCCTAATTGTTTCACTTCAACTTCTTTGTTCAGTTCATCCGCTATTTCTTGTACATCTCCTTGATTTTGACAACAAATAATCAAATCATCAACATAAATGAGTATGTATTGATACTTTCCATTTTTAAGTCTTGAGAACAAGCAAGGTTCTGCTATTCCTTGTTGAAAACTCTGTTTTTGTAGCAGTTTAAGCAGCTTTCCAAGCTTTGGCTGCTTGTTTTAGTCCATAGACGCTTTTGTTGAGTTTACACACTAGGCCTTCTTGTCCTTCTGTTGAAAATCCCTCTGGTTTTTTCATGTAGATTTCTTCATTCAGGTCTCCATTGAGGAAAGCTGTCTTGATGTCCAAATGTTCAACGTGCATGCCCTTTGACGCTGCTATGCATAGGAGTGTCCTGAAGGATGTATAACTCACAACAGGTTCAAAAGTCTCTGAGTTATTAGGTTCCTTCACTGGTATATAACCTCAGTATATCTGCGGTTAAATGTTTGTTTATGTTACTCACAGGAAGTCACATGTTTCTCATGTAACCAATGTTCTTTAGCTGTAGAATGCCCGGGAATTTTCTCCCTGATCTAGGAATTTGATTGGGACTAAAGTGTCAAGGTGTATTACCATTTTATGGCTTCTCTTCCCATCTTTGTTTGGTGTTCTGAAGAAGAAGAAGAGTAGCCATAATCTCTCTCTTCTAGTTTTGTCTTTGTAGAGTAAGGATGTAGCCGATTTTGCTCTGTTGTTATTTTCATCCCAGTTACCCTTCCCATGCTAGAATTTAGTAAAAACTTTATATTTTAATCACACATGGATTCTGAGTCTGAATTATCTTACTCTGGCTCTGCTGGACTATCTTATCTCTGCTAAATACCATTTTTCAATATCTCACTATCACCCAACAGAGGCTTTTCACCAAGGCCTGCTTGAAACTTAGAACTAGACTGGGGGTGAGCTGACTTCCTGCAAGGTCGTCGCCTTCCTTTGATGAGAATTCTTGTGCTTCACCAGTGTGTGCTAAAAGAGTGTGTATTCAGGATCTTGCCAGGCAGTGGTTCTCACACATTTTGACCCACTTCTAAATTGACTATACTTTTTTGGAACCGCTTCCAAAGTTACCCCATATGCAATGCAGGAATCTCTCATCAGTTACCATTGAACAAACGGATTTTTTTTTTTTGTGCTTAGTATCTTTAAAGATAGAGAATTACTGAGAAATAGGCTTCATTTCACGGCCATTGTGTACATTTGGCAGCGACAAACAGATTTTGCTCTGTTGTTATTTTCATCCCAGTTACCCTTCCCCATGCTAGAATTTAGTAAAAACTTTATATTTTAATCACACATGGACTCTGAGTCTGAATTATTTTACTCTGGCTCTGCTGGACCATCTTATCTCTGCTAAATACCATTTTTTTCAATATCTCACTATCACCCAACACCATGCTTATGTGGAAATAGTTCTTTCTCTCCTAAGTGTTTAGAAGAAAAAGAAATTTTCCCTCTCATGCACCAGAATGATAGAAGAACACATTCTGATAGGAAAAGCCTAAAGACCTTGGATCTTCTTCGCTTTGGGGGGAAAACCCAATCAAGAGAAGGAAGGTGATAAGAGTTTTTTATATTGTCTTTCTTTCTCTTTTATTGTTAGAATTTGGTATGAACAAAATCCCCCTCACTGTACTATAGTTTGGAGCAAGGGTGTCGAACTCATCTGTTATGAGGGCCAGTTCTGACATAACTGAGACCTTGTTGGGCCGGGCCACGTGTGCCATAAAATGTAATGCCAGGTAGCAGAGATAAAAGACACAAACACAAGGGTTTTTTTTTTTTTTACTTAACATAAAAACGTGCTTAAAACTTCAGCACTCTTGCAATATTTTATTTATTTAACAGTGTCTGATAACTGAGACCTCTTCCTCTGAATTATTGCATCTAAATGTCTGTGCTGTTGCAATCTTGAGTATGCTGTTCAGGAGTGTATCTGTAAACTGCAAACCTACAATGACGCAGTAGCAGCAGAAGTGGAAGAAGAAGCAGAAGACAGCCAGTTCTACTGTGGGTCTGACAGAAGTCCTCCAGAGGCCTGATCCGGCCCCCGGGCCGCAAGTTTGACACCCTTGGTTTGGGGTGTTATCCAGTAAAAATTATTGGCATTATGTTCAGGGGAGGCAAAAAGACCTTTGAACCATGTGTTGTTAACGTACTGCATTCATTCCCCACAAAACATCAAGATGGTCATTAGTGTGTAAAGACTGCTACATTACCAGATAAAGTCATGGAAAAACAAGGCAAAACAAGGAAAACACGAAAAACAAAGCAAAACAAGGCAAAACAAGAATGGGACCTTCATATTGAGTAGCAGATTTGCTGTTTATTAATTTAACTATTTATACCATCATTTTCTTTCTAATGGACACCCCAAGTAGTTTACAACAATAACATTCTCTCCTCTCAGGACCAAACATTTAAGTTTTTCCCCAGAATCCTTTTGTTGGCCACTGATGGGAGACCAGCCACTGAACCAGATGAATGTTAATCTGAAGCGTCAAGGCAGTTCATTTGTTCTTAAGTGGCCGATAAGGCTAATGATGAACAGCGGTCCTGGCTTATCCTCCTGTGAAGCCTCTGAGTTCTTTGAGGAAGTCAGATCTTTCAGATGTTAATCCTTAGAACTGTGGGTTTCCTGGGGTTTGCATCCTGCAAGACGTCATAGTTGCTGCTTGCAAGGAACAACTGTGCCCTGATGATCTGTCACAACAACACATACTGAAAGAACATGGAAGGCAAAGAGGCCAGCTGAGGGCAGGAATAGAAACAGGGTGGGCTGAATGGCTCTGAGACAGCTGGTGGGCGATCAGCTGTTAGCCGAGCAGCTGGGTACTGTCTGCCTGGTTGATATTCTGAGGTCTGATTCGAACGGGACTCTGGTGGGCAAGAATATCTTACTGTGCAACATTGCAAGCTCTCTGCATTTCTTTGTAACTGTAGCCCTCGGCACATCCAAAATGAGACCTATTTTGGCAAAACGTGATTCAGTTTATTTATAATTATGCTATGCTGCCATATACCACCAGGTCCTAAGATAATTCTGCTAGGGTGTTTTCAAGAATTGGTAGTTTCTTCAGTCATTTATTTATTTACTTCCTTTATACTTCGCCTTTCTTCCCAGTGGGTACCCAAAGCGGCTTATATCGTTTTCCATTTTATCCTCACATCAGCCCTGTAAGGTAGGCTAGGCTGAGGCTGTGACTGGTCCACAGTGACCCAGTGAGCTTCCGTGTCAGGGTGGGGATTTGCACCTGGGGTTCCCAGAACTTTGTGTGATACTCTAGCCCCTGCATCTTGTCAATTCTAGACACTGATTTAAACTCTGGTTTCAGCTGCTAGCATTGTGACTGAGGGATACTGGGAGGAAAAAATAACTGCTCCACTTTATAAAGGACTGATTTAATTGGAATGTGGTCTCAGCCAGTACACTTTAGTGGTGAGAGTGTCAGACTAGGATCTGGGAGACCCAGGTTCGAATCCCTACTCTGCTATGGGAGCTTGCTGAGGGACCTCGGGCCCATCACACGTTAGCAGCCTAGCCTACCCCACATGGTTGTTGTGCGGATAAAATGGAGGAGAGGAGAATGTGTAAGCTGCTATTGGTTGCCATCGGAGGGATAGGTAAGAGTATCAAAAAAAATGCAGAGAAATAATTCTCAGCAAACAAACAAGTTTTGTGATTGCTGGACAATTTTTATTATGGGCTGGAATGAAAAAGTTTTAGATGAGACATATCTTTTTGCTTTGTGGGTAACTGGGATGAAAATAACAACAGAGCTAAGTTCCTTACATCCTTACACTACAACAAAAAAACTAGAAAGAGAGCGATAATGGCTTCTGTACTTCTTCAGAACAGCAAACAAAGAGAGGAAGAGAAGCCATAAATTGCAAAAACACTTTGACACTTTGCTTCCAATGAAACTCCTAGATCAGGGATGATTTTCCTGGGCTTGTAATTCTAAACTAACATTGGCTACATAAAACACATGTGACTTCCTGTGACAACACAAACAAACATTTAACCCCAGATACACTGAAGTGTTTTCATCTTGTAACACCCAACAAGAGGAGAATGTGTAAGCTGCTATTGGTTGCCATCGGGGGGATAGGTAGGAGTATAAAAAAATGCAAAGAAATAATTCTCAGCGAACAAACAAGTTTTGTGATTGCTGGACAATTTTTATTATGGAATGAAAAAGTTACAGATGAGACATATCTTTTTGCTTTATGGATTGTTGTAAACACCCGTCTCCTCTTGTTTCCCCTCACTTTTCTTTGTTTTAAGTTATTATGTAGTGCAATGCATACATTAATTACAATATGGAACTGAACCTGCTGAGACAAAACAAAACACCTTGCTGTTTGTGCAGAGTGTTTCCATGCCAGAGCTCCACGGCCCCTGTGAACCCATGAAGCTGCCTTATACTGAATCAGACCCTTTGGTCCATCGAGATCAGGCTTGTCTTCTTAGACTGGCAGCAGGGAGTTAGGCTGAGGTCTTTTATGTCATCCGCGACTTGATCCTTTTAACTGGAGATGCCAGGGATTGTGTGGATGATACACTGACTTGCAATTTCTTGCTTTCGAACTGCTAGGTTGGCCGGAGCTGGAACTAGAGATGGGAGCTCACTCCATCATGCGGCACTTAGACATGCGGTGCTTAGAAGCAGAGTACAAAGATTATGAAGCTTCCCCCCCTCCAAGGCCTTTAGCTTCTGATTCCACTGCAACTTCTCTTGTCCCTGTCATGTTTCCATTGGGCGTAGCAGAGAATGTAGAGAAGGAAGACTTGAGGGTTTATTTTGTGTGTACCCCAAACTTGTTTTCTTAGAAGTCCCACAAGTTTCCCTGCAAGTTTTCTTAAAGTTGCTTTCTTAGAAATCTCAGTTAGCTCAGTGATGTTTTCTTCTTCGTAGAGCAGAGGTGCCAACTCCGGGTTGGGAAATTTGTGGGGATTTGGAGGTGGAGTTTGGTGGGGTGGGGTTTGGTAGAGCGGCCAGCTCTGAGTTGGGAAATACCTGGAGATTTTTTTTGGGGGGGTGGAGCCTGGGGAGGGGAGGGACCTCAGCAGGGTACAATGCCATAAAGCCCAGCCTACCCCCCCAAAGCAGCCATTTTCTCCAGGGGAACTGATCTCTTTCGTATGGTGATCAATTGTAATAGCAGGAGGTCTCCAGGCCCCACCTGGAGGTTGGCAACCCTAGTTATGCCTCACTTGTCTGCTGGCTAGCTAGTAGCCACACAAGCAGGGGGAGAGAGACTGACTCCAGAAATGCTAGGGTAGGAATGCTTTCAGGGTTAACTAATGGGTAGATGTTCTGCAAAGCTGGGTTCCCAGCTGTGAGCAGATCAGTTTCCTTGTCCTCTTCCTCTCCGAGGCCTGTCTCTCCAGTAGCTCCGAGTCCAAAAGCTTTTTTCTTTTCTTTCCCCCCTTGTGTGCCTGTCTTTCACACATCAGTAATTCAGCACAACAGTCAGTAATTCAGCACAACTGTCAAACAGAAGCTACCAGGCCGGGAATTATTGTGTGAAGAACAAATACAGCTTCACACAGCAGACTTGGAGCTTGTTTTTGAGGTTGGAAGCCATCTGGCAGGGTCAGTGACTATCTAGGGAAAAGGCTTCTTTCAACAATAGCGGCAGGACCTTTTCACAGAACCTGTTAAGTCCAACTTCTTCTTTCTTATTCTTCCTCCTTTTCTCCCCAGCACCTCTTTACGCTTCCCAGAGCAAGCTGGGCATCGACGCTGGGTAACAAAAGCGATATATATGACGTCCCATCGCCACAGCGCCATGGAGCCTTATTCTCGCAGGTGAGTCTCTTTACCTTGATGGCTGATAACCTCTGATAACAGTAGACAGATAAGAAAACTTATAACTAAAAAGAGCCTTGCTGGATCAGACCAGAGGTCCGTCTAGTCCAGCATCCTGTCTCACACAGTGGCCAACCAGTTCCTCTGGAGGGCCAACTGTTGGAATTGCAAGTTGCTTACACTTCAGTCATTACAGAGTTAAATGTTGTTTGTTAGGAAACAGGATGTTACGTTACATAATGTATTCTACGGCAGGAAAGTTTGTGGGAGTTGTTTAACCTAATGAAGTGAAATGCTTTGATCTAGCATTAATATATTCACAAGGTTTATGGCCCTTTGTGTGAACCAGAGAGGAAGTTCTTTTCTAGAAGCAAAGACAGAAAGATGTAGCTGTTAGCATATAGTACTGAGAGTAACTGCAAGTATGTAACCTTTTTATTTTATTTCTTTTATCCAAAGTACCTTACCCATGTTTTATTTTGTTTTATAGTAAAGATATTTTTCTTTTACTAATGTGGCTCTTGTGTTTGCGATACGACCATCGATCTTGAATCTCAGAATCCCAGCACCAACAACAGGGCACAGAGGCCGAGGGCTTTTCCTGATGTTGCCTCCTGGCTCTGGGATTCAGAGGCTTAGGGCCTCTGAATGTAGAGGTTTATTTATTTATTTAACTTTTACCCCGCCCTCCCCGCCGAGGCAGGCTTAGGGTGGCTCACATAAAACCAATCAAACAATGTACATCTCAATGTAAAAATCCATAATAAACAATGTAAAACAGTTGATATAACTATGGCGGTGTGATATACTAAAGTGCATTTAAGAACACATTCAGCGGTGCTACCACTCTAGGTAACTTCTAGCTCTAGGTAGACACAGGGCACGGCTGATAAGGTGCAGCTCCTATTGGAAGGCCTGCTGGAAAAGCTCCATTTTCACGGCCCTCCAGAACTGTGACAGGTCCTGCAGGGCCCTAATCTCGCCAGGGAGCTCATTCCAATAGGTCGGAGCCGCCAGAGAGAACGCCCTGGTCCTCATCGATGTCAGCCTGGCGTCCTTCGGCCCAGGGAGGGCCAAGCGGTTTTGTGAACCTGATCGCAGTGCTCTCAGGGGAACGTGCGGGGAAAGGCAGTCCCTCAGGTAGGCAGGTCCCTGACCATAGAAGGCTTTAAAGGTCAAAACCAGCACCTTGAAGCGAATCCGGTATGCCATTGGCAGCCAGTGCAATGACTTTAGCACAGGTCGGATGTGCTCCCGCACGGGGAGCCCCATCAGCAGCCTGGCCGCCGCATTTTGCACCAGCTGCAGCTTCCAGAGTTGCATCAAGGGCAGCCCCATGTAGAGAGCGTTGCAGTAGTCCAACCTCGAGGTGACCATTGCGTGGATCACTGAAGCCAGATCATTGCGTTCGAGGAAGGGAACCAACTGCCTGATCAGCTAGTTAAGAACATAAGAAGAGTCCTGCTGGATCAGACCAGAGGTCCATCTAGTCCAGCATCCTGTCTCACACAGTGGCCAACCAGTTCCTCTGGACGGCCAACAACAGGGCATAGAGGCCGAGGCCTTCCCCTGATGTTGTCTCCTGGCACTGGTGTGGAAGTTCCCTATAGTCTCCATGGCTAGTAGCCTCTGATTCCTGATGCTCTCAACTGACCTGGCCTAATCACACAAAAAAGTCTTCATGACTGTCAAAAACATGATTTAAGACAGGTCCCTGATGTGCCCACCAAGTGTTTCTAGAAAGTGGGTGGGGCCAGGCAAGGGTCTTTTTGTTGGGGTTTAAAAAGGAAAAATTGGTATTTAGCAGAGATAAGATAGCTTAGCAGTGCCAGAGTAAAATAATTCAGACTCAGAGTCCATGTGTGATTAAAATAGAAAGCTTTTACTAAATTCTAGCATAGGGAAGGGTAACTGGGATGAAAATAACAACGGAGCTAAATGGCTACATCCTTATGCTACAAAAGACGACTAGAAGGGGGGTAATGGCTGCTCTTCTTTCTTCTTCAGAACTCCAAACAAAGACGGGAAGAGAAGCCATAAAATGCTAAAACACCTTGACACTTTACTTCCAATCAAACTCCTAGATCAGGGAGAATTTCCCGGGCTTCCAGCATCTAAACTAACTTTGGTTACATGGGAAACATGTGATTTCCTGTGAGCAACACAAACAAACATTTAACCCCAGATACACTGAGTGTAATTTAACTTGAAATACCCAACACTTGTCCACATGGCCTTCTGACTGGCCACTGGAGATCTGATCAGCTATACAGATTAAATAATATTGTTTCAGTGGCAGATGCCACCACAGTTTGTTTTATTCTCTCTCACTTCTCTTCCCCAGGGTATTTTCTTAAATTACCCCTCTTCTCCCCTGCACTTGGGCTTCCTCTGTGTATGTGGGGCTCCTGCGGCAGCCATTTTGTGGTTGGCACCACCTCCCGGGGCAGCCATTTTGTGGTTGCACCCACCACCCTGTGTCAGAATTCCGAAGGCACCCACAGGCTCGAAAAGGTTGGGGACCCCTCCTTTAGGAGTTCCATGTCCGGATTAATAATAATAATTGTCCCAATCGCACTTGAGTCCTAGCGGGACACTCTCCTCATGCACAGCTACCGTGTGCGCTAGCCACCCCCACCCTGCCATAGAGTTGTCAGGTCCCCCCTGGCCCTTGACGGGGGTTGGGGGCCAGGGTTGCCAGATCCTGCTTGTGAAACTTCTGGAGATTTGGGGATGGGGCCCGGGGAGGACGGGGACCTCAGTGGGGTGCAATGCTGTAGAGACCCCCCTCCAAATCACCCATTTTCTCCAGATCTGTGAAGTCTGGAGGTGAGCTGTAATTCTGAGGGATCCTCAGGTCCCACCTGGAAGCTGGCATGCCTAGCCTGCTGTTGGTGCACCGGACCACACCCTTCCCATCGGGCGTTTCCCCTGCCTGTTCCTGGGCTTCTTGGGGGGGGGGGGTGTCCAGCCATGCCTGTCAGCCATCATCAGTTTCCTTGGCTCCCAGCGTCATCATTGTGCCATGGAGGTGTCGCATTAAGCATAAGCACCCTGGTATTATATGGAGGGTTCTGGCAGTGGGAGCCAAGCAGCTTATTCTCTGTGCCACCTTAGCTACTTGTCGAAGGTGGGACTGGCTCAGCCGTTTCCGGCTGTATTTCAGGTGCACCAGTACAGATGGCAAGAAGTGAATGCTACAGCTGCCAGCTCGACCTAGGTCAGGTGAAGGTAGGGGGCCCGTGATCTGCCCCTGTAGAACTGCCACTTCTACTCCGGCACCTCAGCTTGAGCAGGGGTCATTTCGTAGCAAAAGAGGTGCAGGAGCTCATTAGCATAACTCATTTGCCACACCCCCTGACATCACCGGAAGTGTGTCAGAAGGCAACACCCACCGCTCAGGCTCCACTGGACTGTTTTGGATTGCTAGCTATTGGGGGGGGGGCGGGGACGTGCAGATCTGTCCTTACAGAGGAGGGAGAGCTTGTAACGGAATAAAACTTGGTCTTAAAGCTGCCACTGTACTATTTTGGACCAGGAGGCCAGGAAGGGGGCTCTGCAGCTTACCTGGCTGTTTCTTGCTCTGACTGAGGGCTGCTGGGAGCAGGGGGTGGGGCTTGTTGCATGTGCCTGCCCCCTGGGCTCTTTACTGCCGGAGCTCTGCTCCTGTGCGCTCCTGCAGGAAATGACCGCTGAGTTTGAGCAACATTTTGTTTCGGATTGCTAGCCTGCTTGCTTAGAGGCTGCAGCCCTGACAACAGGCTACTTTTAATTGGCACTTTTGTTGGGACCCGGTCGTTCCAGATTACTTTTCTGGTACCATGAATGTGCAGTTATTACCAAGTGGTTTCGGGGGATTCAGGCCTCTTTCCCGTAGCTGCCACAGCTGTTTCAGAGCCTAGCTGCATGATAGGTTGCTTATTGGTCTGCTCCGAGGGTTCTTTACCAGATGTCCACCAGGGGTTGTGTTAAAACTAAATCTCTAGGTGTGCACTTGTCCCCCCTGCCCATGCCATATTCTAAACCTGAAACAGAAGAAGAAGAGGAGGAGGAGACTGAATTTATACCCCGCCCTTCACTCAGAGTCTCAGAGCGGCTTACAAACTCCTTCCCCTCCCCCTCCCCACAACAGACACCCTGGCAATGTTCCCTCTAAGCTGTGGAGTCTGGTGAGCAAAAATTCTACTTTGTGAGCTACTGGCATTGAAGATGTGAGTGAGCCATTTGGCTGCTGTATATATTAGTTTGCTCTGGAGCTGTCCTTCCTGAGCCAAGATGAAAATGTGCGAGCCGGAGGCTAAAAAACTGTGAGCTAACTCACACTAACTCAGCTTAGAGGGGACACTGCCTGTGAGGTGGGTGGAGCTGAGAGAGCTCTTTCCAGAACTGTCCTTGAGAGAACAGCTCTGACGGAAGTATGGCTTGCCCCAAGTGGAGGAGTGGGGAACGAAACCCAGTTCTCCCAGAATAGAGTCCGCATACTTAACCACTACACCAAACTGGCTCTATGCCCCACTGGTAAAACTAGCTTGTAACCCGTCAGTACACATAATTTTTTCACAGCATGGCAAATTGCAGCTAGGTGTCATTTCAGTTTGGGAAATGGCATGGGGGGCTAGGGTTGCCCGCTCTGGTTTGGGAAATTCCTGGAGACTTTGGGGGTGGAGTCCGGAGAGGGACCTCAGAAGGGTTGCAGTGCCACAGAGTTCACCCTCCAAAGCAGCCATTTTCTCCAGGGGAATTCTGTCATCTGGAGACTAGCTGTAATTCCTGGAGATCTCCAGCCTGGTTGGCAACCCTGGGGGTGAGGCTTCAGGCCTCTCTCTCTTTGCCCACCACAGTACCAGTTCTACCTGGGCCTCCATGTGCCTGGGAATTAAGTTTCAACACAGGACTCCCAGAGCCCGTCTGGTCAACGGGACATGAGTGGATGCTGGACAGACCCGTAAACAATATATCGAGTAGTTAAAAGCCTCATTGAAGTCATTTCCCAAGTAAACCGCAGACATTTGTCACTGTGGCCCTCAGTCCATGGGTTGGGGTTTTCAGCCGGGCTTCAGAGCCCCACATGTTAGGTTGCCAGCCCTCCTATAGTTGTGTGTGTGTGGGTTGTTACTGGGAAAGGGGAGCTGGGTGGTGAATCGAGGTCACTGCAACCTATGGTGGTGAATCAGAGGTCATTTCGGGGGGGAACGCGGGGGAACACAGTTCCCCCGGGTGAGGTGCAGGGGGGCGGGGCACATGACAAAGCCCCGCCCCTGCTTCCGGCCGCCCCGCTTCCAGCCCTCATTCAGCCAGGAGGAGGCAGGAGAAGAGGGAGGGTAAGTTGCTTCCTCCCCGCCTCTCCCCACCCCTGCCTGCCTGGGGCCAGAGAGGGCCTTGGCGGGGCTTCCTCGCACTCCCGCTGGCCTTGCAGGTCCACCGCCGGGCCCCTGATGTCAGGGGGTGTGGCATATGCTAATGAGTTATGCTAATGAGTTCCCCTAGCTCTTTTTCTACGAAATGACCCCTGGTGGTGATGATATATCGTATCTGGAGGTAGGTGGATCTCCATTCTCAGATTCTGGAATGCTCTTCAGCAGCAGCACCTACCTAGGTGAAAAGGTGCTATACAGCAACAGTTCACCCACAAGTGACCCACAAGTCCAAATTTACTCGGATAATGACCTATCCAGGGCTGGCCCAAGTTGGGGTTTTTTGGGGGGAGGGGGAGCACCCTAGGCAAACTATGACGTTGGTACCATCTAGTTCAGCATTCCATTTTCTACAATGGCTAACCATATGTTGAGAAACCAGCAACCATCACACAAAGGGCACAGCTGCCTCCACTGTGAACCCTGAGCAAGCAGCATTCTGACATACACAGCCTTTGCATATGAAGGCTACACTCCAGCCTTTGACCGCCCCCTCCTTCTCCAGTTTGGTGTAGTGGTTAAGAGTGATAGATTCTAATCTGGAGAACTAGGTTTGCTTCCCCACTCCCCCTCCACATGCAGCCAGCTGGGTGACCTTGGGTCAGTCAGAATTCTCTCAGAATTCTCTCAGCCCCACCTACCTCACAGAGTGTCTGTTGTGGGGAGGGGAAGGGAAGGAGATTGTAAACTACTCTGAAACTCCTTTGGGTAGTGAAGGGCATGGTATAAAAACCAACTCTTCTTCTTCTTCCAGTGCCCACTAAGATTAGAAGAAACTCACCCTAGTAAGCATCAGGGCACATTTCACTTGATCATGAATGACATGGAAGATCACTGTTTCCAGGGTCAGATTTTGGTTTCCAAGTTACAAAAGAGAGAAACAGAAAGGGCAGAGGCGGCCATTAGGGAGAGCTGGCCCATGACCCACTTTCAGAGTCTTCATGATCCACTTTTGGTTCCCGACCCACAAGTCAGGAAACGCTGCTGTAGAATGCTATCGATCGGGTGGGGAGCAGGTGTTCAGTTGATGTTGCTTTCCAAAGTTCTGTTCATTAGACCACTTCGCCATCTAGAGGACATCTTCTTCCACTGCAACTCCATGGTCTAACAAAACACAGCAGCATTTTCCAAATGGAAACAGCTCCAAAGCCTTCCCCTTCTTCCCATGAAAGCCCTGATGAGCTTCACTCTGGTTTGTCAGATTTCACAGATTCTGCATAGATTTCATTAATTTAAATTACTGGGTCTGGATTATTAATGGATCCCAAGGACTTCTTTGCTGTGCTCTTTGAATTAATTATCGTATGGCATTGTGTGTAGAGTAGCCAGGAAATCCGAAGATTGTCTGGCAGCTAGAAGTTCTAGCTCTTTAGTGTTATGCACCACTAGGCGGTGAGCTAGACTTGTTATAAAGGCAAGAGACCTTTCAGAGGTGTTTTGCCATTGCCTGCCTCTGCGTCACAACCCTGGTATTCCCTGGAGGTCACCCTCCTAAATACTAGTCAAGGCTGACTGTACTATTTGAAAAGAGGTATGATGGAAACAGATCTTCACCTGATTATAAATGTGTTGATGGCAGCAAAAACTATACAGGGCAGCAATGGAAAAAAGTAAGGAACCACTGACAGTATTTAAATGGCTTAATAAAAATAGGGACAATATTTTATGACTAAATTAACATATTATGTTGCAACCCAAAATAATTTTTAAAAACCCCACAGGGCAACTTCCCAGTATTTGACCCTCCATAACCTTGATTTGCAGTCTGAAGTTGTACCGTCCATTCTGCTATCTCAGGTCTCTTCCATCTCAGTCTCTTGCATGCATGAATCAGGCCTCAAGTTGCTCAATTACTGTATTAAACAGTGAAGGGCTGGCCCCCGTGCAGGCAAAAAAAAGATGGAAAGCTGCCCAGCCATGACTACATTGTAGGTTGTGGGCAGCCTGGGGGAATCCTGGGTCTGCAGAAAAATCTGACTTGCTAAAAAAGAAGAAGACGGGGACGGCAAAGGATGAGATGGTTAGACAGTGTCATCGATGCAACGAACTTGAAGTTGAGCACACTTCAGAGGATGGCAGAAGACCGGAAGGCCTGGCGTGATCTGGTCCATGGGGTCGCAAAGAGTCGGACTCGACTGTGCGACTGAACAACAACAACAACAACAACAACAAATATTAATTTAGGGCTTAAATCCCCCCCCCAACTGAGCATGAGCAGATATCACAAAAGCAGTAGGAATCTGAACATCCTTTGGGGTACAAGAACGGCCAGCATTGAGGAGGTAAGGATGCCAAGCTCCAGGTGAGGCCAGGAGTTCTCCCAGAATCTCCAGACTACAGAGATCATCTCCCCTGAAAGACACCACATTTTCAGAGGGCAGACTGCATAGCATCACATCCCTGTTGAGCTCTCTCCCCTCCACAATCTCAACCCTTCCCAGCCTCCACCCCGAATTTCCACAACATGGAATTCATAACCCTATGAGAGGGCAGCGACCAGGAGCAGTACGGCAGGAGGAGAAGAAAATGAAGATGAGAAGGAAGGAGATCCAGAGGAGAGGAGAGGAGAGGAGAGAAAGAAATGGGATTTCCTCTCCCCATCAGTCCTTCCTCCTCTTCCTTTTCCATACTTGCCTGGGCTGTCACAGGGGCCTCTTAGGTATTCTCATTTCCCTCGCTTGTGTGTCCCTATTGCTTCGGGTTTTTTCCCCCTTTTCTGCACGTGTTTCCATTGCTGTATGTCTGGCACACAGTGATGTAATATTTAACCAACCACTAGAGAGGGAGCAAAACACACGTGGAAAAGACTCCACCCGGAAGCAATAGGGACACACAAATGAGGAGACCGAGAATGTGGGAAAGCCCAGGGATAAAGGATGTAGAAAGCCCTGAAAATCAGTGAGTACTCTTGGTACATCTCTCATTCCTTTGTCCTCCTTTTGACTGGGAAAAGTTCTGGAGTTTCTCCATGACCAAATAAAAAATACTCCTCATCTGTGCATGGGTGAAGGTATGTATTATTCTTGCTGGAAAGATTAACTTCTTATTTTTTGCCCCTTCATTAGGGTCTTGCCACACCGCCCTCGTCCAGAAAGGGCTCCCAACTTCCCCCCTGTGCAGAAAATTGCCTGAAAGAGTCACCACAGCTTTACGATATCCCACCAAGCGTGCAAAAAGGAAGCATCTGCACACAGGAGTCACTCATGGGTAATGTAAGTGCCACTTGGGGAGAGCAAGTCCAGAATTCTGTCAATTCAGCTGCGCTTCTCAGGGGGGCAGGGTGGTGTTTGTGGCTGGCAGAACTTGGTTTCAGACATGATCTCCATCTACGGCCTTTGCGTTCACGAGCTGGGGGGGGGAGGGTTGAAGTAGGAGCTAGTGTAGAGTAGTAGTTTGAGTGTCCACTTAGGAAGCAGGAGATCTGGATTAACCCTGCGATGATGCTTGAGCCTAACCTACCTCTCAGGGTTGTTGTAAGGGTGAAACGGAGGAGCAGAGAATGATTTGTGGCCCTGGGCTCCTTGGAGGTAGCTGCAGTAAGATAAGATGGAGTCTGGTGTGCAGCAGGCAAAAGCTTCCCCTGGTCTATTGTATGGTCTCATTTAGAATATGGGGCACAGTTCTGACTATACCCCCTGCCCCTCCGTCTCCAAAAAGGGTACGAAAGAGCTAGAAGAGGGCTGACAAAGTGATCAAAGCTTGGGATACTTTCACTATGAAGAAAAGGTAAAAGATACAGAGATGTTCAGCTGCAAGGAGAGGAGTAAGAACGGACAGGTAAAGGTTTGTAAAAATTACCCCCGATGTGGACGAAATGGATAAAAAGACCTTTGTCTTCCTCGCCAGTAATGCCGGAATTTGGGGGCACCTAATGAAGTCGATGGGCAGTAGATTCCAGACCAATAGTCAAGATACTTATCCACACAAACCTTAAATCACCTTGTGGAAATCGATGCCGCAGTGAGAGTGATGGCAGCTAGCTAGGGTAGCTTTATGGAGGCCACGTCAATCCATGGTGCGCACCGGACTCTGCCTTATCTTAACCACGGTTACTCGGCCATTCCTCCAAGGAGCAGCAGGAAAAAAAAATCAAGGTGTTTGGGGAAAAAAACTTATTGTTATTCTTTCTTGATCCCAACATGTTTCGCCTATAGCTTCCTGAGGGGTTCTGCCATCTCGTTAATAAATAATAATAGCTAAAGGTGAAACGTGTTGGGATCAAGAAAGAATAACAGTACGTTTCCCCCCCCAACACCTTGATTGTTCTTTTCTGCTGCCACTGCTGGTGTGGCCCTGACTTCTTCCATTCCTCCAAGGAGCCCAGGGCAGCAAACATCATTTCTTCCTCTTCCATTTTACCCTTACAACAACCCTGTGAGGTAGGCTAGGCTAAATGCAGCCTCCATGTTCAGAGGCTCCATGTACACTTCTGAATGCCAGTTGTGGAAGGGGGGGGGAGATAACAACAAGAGGTGGTTTGGGGCTCCATGGCCTGCTTTTAGGCTTTCCAGGGCTATCTGTTTGGTCACTGAGAGAAACAGGATGCTGGACTAGGTGTACCTTTGGTCTGACCTAGTGGGGTTCTAATGAAGAGCCCTGCTGGATCAGACCAGTCCAGCATCCTGTTTCCCATAGGAGTCAATCAGAGGCCCCTGACAAGGCTACAAACATCTATCGGCTTCATTCTACCTGCCAGCTGTAGAGGTCAGTAGTGCACCAGCAGAGACCAAGTGTATGGCAGAATTATTTGTACTCCCAACAGGAAGTGGGAAGGAATGCTATTTTCTGTGTGCTCCCCCCCCCCCGGCCCCCAGTTTCAGTTGTGAAACCTTTTTATTCCATCTCCAGCTCTGCTGCTTCACCAACCAGGGATTGTGATAGAGAAGCAGAGCTGCACAGAATCAAGGTTGTGGTACTAGAGGGAGATAGTGGGACACTCCTAATTCTGCATAAATTGCATTTTTTTTTTGGTATTGTCTTCCAGGTGTACGACATACTCCCAACAGCTTCAAGAGTCCCTGGAAAAGCTCCAGAAACAGGGAAGGTTCTGAGCCATTACAAAACCTTGCCAAACCTCCGTAAATCAGAATGGATCTACGATATACCTGAAAAAGCAGGCTTAAAACAAACTCTTCGGAGCCAGTCCCCGAATAAGCTTATGTTTTATGACATCCCACCATCGAGGCTGGATTCCGATATACAGAAAATCCCTCCAATGAACAGTGAATGTAAATCAACAGATCCACAGTTATATGACGTTCCGCCAGTCCAAAGAAAATTAACTCTCCCGGAGAGTCTGCTTTATGATGTACCGCCCACACACCAAGCCCTGGTCCTGCATCAGAACGGAAACTCCGACGTCCCTCCGGTGGTTCTTTCTGCCAGGACCGAAAAGGAGAACCACCAGCAGGTTCTTTATGATGTTCCAAAGGGAGTTACTTCACCACAACAGAAAGGGACTGAAAAATGTACCTACAGCTCCAGAGACAACATTTACAGTTTCCCTTCGCAGTTGCCAAGAGATGCCAGACTGAACCAAGACAGGTTGTCTGTCTCGAGCGTAGAGAGCCGGACCAGCACCATCTCAACTTCCTCCAGCGCTTCTTCCGAGTCCTTCTCGTCGAGTCCGTCATCGTCGAGTCCGTCATCGTCTTCAGACGAACCCTGCAAAGAGACAACCATGGAACTTGACACGGCCATAGAAACGTTGACGAAGCTACAGCACGGCGTGTCCAGTTCCATTGCAAGTCTAATGATCTTTGTGAGCAGCAGGTGGAGGTGCCAAGAACACCTAGAGGGGAACGTTGAGGAAATCCGTCGAGCAGTCGACCACATCAAAGTCTCCTTGGGAGAATTCCTGGACTTTGCTCGGACCATTGCAGGAAACGCCGCTTGGGCCTCTGACAGTAAGCTTCAGGTGAGGATTAAAAAACAGCTCGGCATCCTCACAGCCTCTTTTCAGATCCTGGTGGAAATGAGAGAAGCGCTGAACAAATGTAGATGGTCACTCGAGGTCCTGGTCATTAAGAAACCGCAGAGCAGCCCGGATGACCTGGATCGGTTTGTTATGGTGGCCCGCACCATCCCGGACGACATCAAGAGGTTTGTATCCATCGTCATCGCCAACGGGAAGCTCCTTTTCAGAAAGAACAGCCGAGAGAAGGACGGCAGAGAGCTGAGACGCAAAACAGTAAAGGGCAGTTTTGAGCGGCGGACGGAAGACAATTCGCTCCTAAGAAACGTTTTGGATAAATCGAAAGAAAACAGCCCGAACGTGGAGAGGGCGAGAGCTGAAGTCACTGAAGATTGTGATTATGTTCAGATACAGGTCGGTGAGGCTGTGATTATAGGGACAAGCGCGCACGGGAAGCACGTAACAGAACGCCACCGTTCACGCCTGAGAAATTAAACCAGCATAGCCTTAAGATCCAATTTCAAACTCACAAACAAATTAGATACTAAGGAAGGGAAATCCATACTTTAACTTCTCTTTGATACCCCTGTAAGTACAGAAGGGTTATTAAAATGTGTTAAGGGGGAGCTAATCCATATGTGTTCTTCAGTGAACACTATTGGTGCCCTTGAAGATCAAATCAGCAATGACATTGCCTGTACAATGTTACTCCAATCTAAGTCCATTAGTTTTAGTGGGCAGACTGAAGTAACTTGACCTAGAATTGCACTGTGAGGACCCCACGAACACCCAGGGGCTCTTGCTCAGAACTCTCAGCATCATGCAGATTTATTTAATTCATTTAGATCCCCCTTTTCTCCTCAGTGGAGACCCAAAGTGGCTTATGTTGTTCTCCTGACCTCCATTTTATCCTCACAACAAACCTATGGGGTAGGTTAGGCTCAGAGAGTGTGCCTGGCCCAAATTCACCCAGTGAGCTTCCATGGCACGAATGGGGATTCGAACCCAGGCCTCCCAGAGAATAGTCTGACACTCTTAACCATTATACCACGCTGGCCTTGAAACAGCCATCACTGGAGAGCTCAGAGTTTGCTCTAATGGCTCTCTTTCCTAACACAAGAAAACAGTTGCCGAAGGCACACCAGACAGGCAGGCAGTCCTGGAGAAACAGACAGAGAGGAGGAGAAAAAATGGGAAGGAAGGATTCCTTCTGATGCCCGATTCAAAATGAAAGATGCAGATGTTTCCAGACTACATAATACATCGTTCACAAATGCGTGCCTCACTGTGAGAAAGCTTTTGTGGGAATTGGCCTTAAATGTAACTAGGATATAAGCAGGAAAGACAGATGAAGAATGATCCTTTTGTAGGAGGGAAATCAAGTGTTTGTTCAGTGCTTGCTTACCATTCTTGCTTACAGTAGAAATATACCCCAGCGGGGACCAAAAAGAAAGTACAGAATTTATGGAATGCATTGAAAGAAGAGCTAGTCACCATGTTAATTGGCTTTGAATGGGAATTATAGGGGTTCCTGGAAGAAAATCAATGGCTATTAGCCATAAAAGACAAAATGGAACCTCCATGTTCAGGGAAAGTATAACTGAATGCCAGGCTGGGGAAGGGGAGAAGCATTGGTCTCCGTGCCCTTCTGCAGACATCTGGTTAACCGTTGTGATAAACACTATGCTGGAGTTGATGGATTTTTGATCTGATCCACCAGGGAAATTATCTGTTTTTATGAAATTAGGCCTTAGGAAGCTACTCCTTAGGATGCAGTTCAGTTCCCCCACTGCCGCCCATAGTTGAACCCCCCACTGATATTGTATGGCTCTCGATATCTTTTAATCATGTATTTTATTTACGTCATGCATACCTTGCCTTTCTCCCCAGTGGGGACCCAAAGTGGCTTATATTGTTCTCCGTTCCATTTCTGCTGTCTCACAACAGTCGTGTGAGGTAGGTTCAGAGGAGACCATGTGACTGGCCCAAGGTCACCCAGCAGGCTTCAGTGGCAGAGTGGGGATTTGAACCTGGGTCTCCCAGATCCTAGTCTGACACTCTTGACATTACCCCACACTGGCTCTATGTCCTAAAACATAGGCTGTAGAGTGCTGCTGAAGACAGTAATCACAACAAACACACAACCTTTATTGGCATGAAAGCACAAAACATCATGGAAATACAGGAAAATAGTAAGATGCATCAGTCACTTACACTTGGCTATTCAAGCCTCGTCTTCTGATTGCATAATATAAAACTTTTGCAACAGCTTCCATTATTTTGCAATGAGATTTAAACTGAAGAAAGTGAACAACTGAGTCATCAGAGTGCCAGCTCTTACCCTCTAGAAGTGGAGTAATAAAATGAGATCGGATATCCTTATAAAGGGGGCAATGAGGTATGGTGTGTGTAGTGGATTCTTTATCTTTTAGAGAGAAAGGACAAAGTCTGTCTACATACGGTGTCTGGCGGCACCTCCCTAAAAGCACCTCTGATGGCAGAACATTAAAGCGTGCAAGCATGTACGCTCTGCGATGATGTGGGGCTGTTAAACTTGACAGATACTTCGCAGTAGAGCCCATGTCAAAAGTCCCCAACCTACCTGGGGAGCATCTGCTGGCTGCGCGTTCCCAAAGTTCTTGCCTTTCGATGTCGAGAAATCTTTGTGCTGAAGACAGTAATCCTGTATTAATAATCACTATGGATTGTACCTTCATTTGTATTAAATATTATACACAGATATCTTTCCCTCATACCTTTCCATACATCATTAAGACTGGGACAGTCTTCATCCTCCCTTTCATCCAGCAAGAGTGAAAGGAAGAACGATGAATTAAAAATAAAGGTACTTTAACATTATTTCAGACATACCAGGCATCTGAAATGATCTTTATCCCCTTCAAATGACATGTTCTCTGTTTCATTAAAATGTAAGAGCTTGCATTTTATTGGGGAAAGTATATAGGTTTTCTTATGGAGCTTCATTATTCCAGATTTGAAGATAAGCCGCAAAAAAAAAAATGTCAACGTTTTGTAGTGGCATCTTTTGTCTGTGGCGTTTACTCACTTGGCTTGTTTATGTTGTTCACTGCTGATTTTAGCTTTACTCTTTGGACTGCTGATTTTTTTTATAACATCAGTATACCTACTTCTCCATGTGGCCAGATCTGTGGATACTGGAGCCATGAACAGACAAGACAGATCTTTCTACAAACCCAAGGAAAGCCCCATAGTTGCAGAAAAATCTGAAATCTAAAAGAAAATACATGGGGAGGGGGGGTTAGCCTCCCAAAATAATAGAGGAAGCAACTGCAGCTTTAAGAAACACCCTCTGTGGTTGTTGCTAGGCAACTACGACAGTATTCACAGTTCAAGCCTCGGTTTCTGTCAGTAGAAGGTGGGGAGATGGACAGGATCCTTTCTAGGACTCTTGGCCTTTGAGGGAGAGCTCCACCAGGGCCAGGCCGGGCAGCAGCCTCTGGGAGACTTGATAACATGTGCTTTGCATGGCTCACCTGGGCCCAGCTGCTCACTACTGTTCAAAAGCAGCCACCTCATAAGAGCTAGTGTAGTGGTTAATGTTTCAGACTAGGATCTGGGAGACCCAGGTTCAAATCCCCACTGTCATGGAATCTTGCTGGGTGACCTTGGGCCACTCACAGACACCCAGCCTAACCCTAACAGAATTATTGTGAAAATAAAATGGAAGAGAAAGATATAAGCTGTTTTGGCTCCACAGTGTGGAAAAAGGCTGGGTATAAATATAGTAAAAAATAATAAATATAGCTGAGATGGGGGAGAGATAAAAAATAGGTTGTTATGTGAGTGGGAGACAGAGAAGGAAGCAGGGAAAGGTGAGGATATGGGAGGTTTCCAGGAGGAGGGAAGGGAGAAGATAGTGTGAGGAGTAGGATACAGAGGAAAATGAGGTTGCCCGCCCCGCCCCCAGTTCCTGCAGGTTCCCCACTGTGCATCTGGGCACAGCCTGGTCCAGTAACCGGCACTGCACAACTTGGCCAGTTTTTTTCAGGGAGAGAAGAAAGGAAAACTGAAGACAGGAAAGCAGATAAAAGTAGGATGGTTGACAGGTGGAAAAGACAGAAAGCAGCACGAAAAGGGGAGAGGCTATGAGGTCTGCCGGGGAAAGAAAAGTAGAAATAGTGGGGGAGGGAGGGGGATGGGATGCCTTCAGCAAGTCCTTTTTGGGTCCTCCACTTGTACCTGTTATAAGGAGAGCCCTGCTGGATCACACCAATGGTGCATCTAGTCCAGACAGTTGCCCTGGAGGGCCAACAAACAGGGCACAGAGGCCAAGATACCTGTATTTCTTTTGTCATATTTTAGATAAATAATTAAAATGGAGAGAACACTTTGAAACAAAAGCCAGAATTGTAAACTATATAGTTACCATGGTTGACTATAATTAGGAAGCCCTTTCCTGGATTAATATGGGATTTTCTGACAATGCTTGATAAAGGAAGCTTTGTAGGAGGAGTTCCTGAAGTCCACCATCACCAGGGTCTCTGAATATTTCTGATTTCATTTCTCCCTCTCCAGGGCTCCCTGTCTAAAACGAGGCCTAACGTTCCAGGTGAGCAGGATCCTGCCAAGAAAATGGAGCTCTCCGATCTCTGCAGACTGTATTTTGGTGCTGTTCAGAAAGCTATCGGCGTTCTACATGACAGCCTGAGCAGAAACCAGGCCCCGGAGATCTTCATTGCTCAGAGCAAACTGATCATTATGGTGGGACAAAAGCTGGTGGACACCCTGTGCCAGGAAGCCCTCGAGACGACCACGCGGAATGAGGTCCTGTGCAGCAGCAGCAAGTTTTGCAGCCTGCTGAAGAGTGTGGCGGTCGCCACCAAAAACGCTGCCATGCAATATCCGAGTGCCGAGGCCATGCGGGAACTTCAGGATCAAGCTGACGGGCTGTCTCAATACACACAGCAGTTCCAAGCCATGATGGAATGATGTATCCCTCCTGCCGGTGTCCTGAGGATACCCATTGCTGTGACTACAGTGACTGAGAGTAGTTTCTAGCTGTGACCGAGAGACTCCTTGTTCATTAAAGAGTACATGTGTCAGATTTTCCACCTGCCCAAGGGGGAGTACCGTAGCTCCTTGTCTCGTAGGGGTGTTTTTACAATAAACGTGTAAAACATTTGGTATAACACTTTGCAGTCTACTGATCTACACAGTGTGGGGCAGCTCAGATTGTCAGTGTATTCAGCCACAGCTGCTGAGGACTCCCTAGAGCAGGCCACGTATTGGACAAAAGTTGGTCGTTAGGCTGAAGCAGGGGCAAATGCATTTATTTATTGCTTATTATATTGGCATCCCATCTCTCTTTCGTTTTCTAAAGGAAAAACTCAAGGGAGCTCACAAAGAAAAGCAAGCCAATAGAAGGGGCCTTACTGACTTTTTTTAGAGTGGCTGACTGCTAAAGAAAGATCGGACGGCATCTGAGCGACAGCTTCACGCTCGGTGCTCGGCTCCTAATCTTCAGAACGGGCCTGTTAAACGTGGCTCAGAGATCAAGTAGCCCGGGCTAGCCACATCTCGTCAGATCTTAGGAGCTAAGCAAGATTGTCCCTGGCTAGTACTTGGATGGGAGACCACCCAGGAAGTCCAGGCAATGGCAAACTACCTCCGTACATCTCTTGCCTTGAAAACTATATGGGGATGTCATAAGTCAGCTGTGACTGGACGGCACTTTGCCCCATCAGAGATCAACGGCCAGACCAGGGGTGTCAGAGGCTGGATCCGGCCCCTGCAGGGCTGGTATCTGGCCTGCAAGCAACTGCTTCCTTCGCACTGCTTCTCACTACTACTGCTACAAAGGGGAAAGGAAAAAGAGTGCATGTACGTGCACCAGATAAAAGTTCCCTCTTCTCTCTCCTGCTTCCTCCTCTGCGTTGCCAAGCTTCTCTTCCCTCATTTGGAGAGGAAATCCCATGGCACATTGGGACAAAAAATCCCAGCTTCAAGTATAGGCTAATGGGGTCTGAACTTGCTGAGAAACAGAGTGATTAAAATGTGGACCACAGGAATAAACAGCTTCAAAAGGGGATTAGATAGGTTCATGGAGGATAAGTCTATCAGTTGCTACTAGCCATGGCGACTGAGGGGAACCACCACATTCAGAGGCAACCTCTGAATCACAGAGCCACTAGCCATGGCGACTGAGGGGAACCACCACATTCAGAGGCAACCTCTGAATCCCAGAGCCAGGAGGCAACATCAGGAGAAGGTCTTAGCCTCTATACCCTGTTGGTCCTCCAGAGGAACCGGCTGGCCACTATGCCAGACTAGATGGACCCCTGGTCTGATCCAGCAGGGCTCTTTTATGTTCTTATGTCCATCAACTCTTGTACTGATATTCAGCACCATTAAGTACATGTACAGTAATGAATACACTATTCACATTACATTTTCCCATCTATCAAATGTTGCCCTTTGAATGTATAGAAGATGTGTGTCCAACAAAAAAAACAATGTACATTTCTTGTTCAAAATTATCAGTGCAGGGAAAGCCTTAAGTCAGTGGTGTGCAAACTTTCCAGAGCCAAGACACACCTTTAATCCCCATGTGGAGGCATGGGATCCCCTTAACTGCAAGCATGTGGCAGAAAATCAGAGCATCACATTTACGTGGCACCGGACTCCTGTGACAAGAGTTATGAAGAGAAGAGAAGAGATTGGATTTATACCCCACCCTTCACTACCCAAAGGAGTCTCAGAGCGGCTTACAAACTCCTTTCCCTTCCCCTCCCCACAACAGACACCCTGTGAGGTAGGTGGGGCTGAGAGAGCTCTGACAGAAACTGCTCTTTTTCAAGGACAGCTGTGCCAGAACTATGGCTTGCCCAAGGTCATCCAGCAGGTGCAAGTGGCGGAGTGGGGAAACAAACCCGGTTCTTCCAGATTAGAGTCTGCGCACTTAACCACTACACCAAACTCACCAGTATCAAGGCCAGGACTGGAGGGTAGCAGATCAAGATGACCAGAGTCAGGAATCGCAAGACAAACACCAGGAGTTGCCCTGTAATGAGGAAGAAGCCAGCAGAGATGATCACACACACACACACACCCTTCCTGAAAAAACTCTCCCTGATCTTTTCTCTCTCCCGGCCCAGCTACTTTGCCCCTCATCAGTCACCCAGAGCTCTTCACCCCCCCTGCTTACATCATCTTTCTGGGCACAAGAGAGCTCTGTGCCGCAAGCATATGCACAGACCACCGGAGGCTCAACTGGCAAGAGCGGGGGCAATGGAAAGAAGGTAAAGGAGGGAACTTTGCAAGTAGGGTAGTGTGTGGGGTGAGGCCATGGCTGAGTAGCAGAGTATCCACTTTGGATGTAGAAAGTCCTGGGTTCAATCCCCAGTATCACCAGTTGAACCAAGCAGGCAGTAGGTGATGTGAAAGACCTCAAGCTGAGAGCTCGGAGAGCCGCTGACAGTCAGAGTAGGCAGTACTGATCTTGATGGACCAATGGTTCAATTGAGCAGAACCAAACAAAGGTTTAGTGGAAAAGAGGGCCAATATTAAAACCCATTGATAAAAAGAAGTACATGTATTTATTAATAATATCAATAATATCATTGATATTATTAATAAATACATGTACTTCTTTTTATCAATGGGTTTTAATATTGGCCCTCTTTTCCACTAAACCTTTGTTTGGTTTTGGATTTCTTTGTTAGGTTTAGTTTTCTTTCCCTTTTTTGTCCCTGCTCAATTGAGCAGAAAGCAGCTTCACAAGCCTCTGAATCTACCTGTGCTAAAATGCAATCTCCGGCTCCAAGTGTCCTTGCCTTCCCATTCTGCTGGTCCTCTCAGTGTGTGTGCAAACAGAGACAGGGAGCACTGGTCCCCTGCTCTGTATGCATTCACACTAACAGCAGGTGCCTCAAAGAAGAGCATGCCTGTAGGGGTTTGCAGCCCAGTAAGCAGGTTCTGCAACCCACCTGAAGGTCCCAAACCATCTACCTGCCCTAACCATCTACCTGGGACAACCATAGGGTTAACCATATTTTGAAAAACAAAAAAAGAGGACATATTTCCCTACTGACTACTTCAAACAAGTGATCAGTATGACAAAACTCACTTTAAATACCCTTACTATTTAAGCTGTGATAATTGCTAGGATCTAGCAATATTTCTAACCTTCCAACCCAAAAGAAGACATTTTCATCAGGGTTTTTTTGTATTTTTTAATGTGTGCATGTGCGTGCACCGGGACATCATGGCAACCTGTGGTGACTGACTCCTACTGGGGCGGCTGGAGGATATTCAGAGAGGTGGCTGAATAAAGCCTGCCCCCACCTCCTGACTGCTGGTATTCCAAGGAGGTCTCCCATCCAAGTACTCGCCAGAGTCGATCCTGCTTAGCTGCTCAGATCTGATAAGATCAGGGCCATCAGTTGTTTTTTAAGAGCCTAAAAGAGGACGGAAACAAAAAAAAAGAGTTGTCCTCTAAAAAGAGGACATGAACCCTAGATAACCAGGATCTATAAACTGAAGAAAAGAATGATTTCACGGTGGACTGAAGCTTTCACTTCAAAGGACATTCCTGAATACTGCGGCGCCAAAGAATGAGAAGCAGAAGAGACTGATTTATACCCCGCCTTTCACTACCCACAGATTTCTCAGAGCGGCTTACAATCTCTTTCCCCTTCCCACAACAGATACCCTGTGAGGTAGGTGGGGCTGAGAGAGCTCTGAGAGAACTGCTCTTGAGAGAACAGCTCTGAAAGAACTTATGATTGACCCAAGGTCACACCAGCAGCTGCATGTGGAGGACTGGGGAATCAAACCCAGTACTCCCACATTAGAATCTGCACTCCTAACCACTACACCAAACTGGGGTTGAGAAATTAGGTTTAGCCCCCAAAAGATCTGTTTAAGTGACCTTCCAAATATTGAGCAAGTATTCTTGAACCATTAAATTTAATAGGACAACTGAAAGATACTCGAATCATTATTGGTTTGATGCTAATTTCAAAAACAGGTTGATTAACTACTACGGTGAAACAAGCAAACTAACTTTTAAAAAACTGGAAATAATTTTAACAGTGTTAGGTAAGGTTTCTGTGTGGCTTTTGTTCTACAACACCCTGGTCAGTTTATTTACAGTTAGAACATTTTTTAAAAAACTAACTTAAAACAGAAATAAAGCTAGAAACTTTTTTTAAATGTCCCCTTTAAAAACAGTTGTGGCTAAGAAATGACCTTGCCCTGGTATAAAACAGGCAACTGCGACTTGCATAGTGGTATTTTCCCCTTTATGGAGTATTTGATAAGATTTAATGAGTCAGAACAAAGTTTGAGTCCAGTGGCACCTTTAAGAACAACAAAAGTTTCATTCTGGGTATAAGCTTTTGTGTACATGCACACTTCTTCAGAATTAACTAGAATTAAACTTCGTTGGTCTTAAACCACTGGACTCAAACCTTGTCCTGCTGCTTCAGACCAACAAGGGCTGCCCACCTGAATCTATTTAAACAGTCAGATGATCACCATGGCAGCTCTCCATAAAACCTAGCCAATGTCTCACAAGAGCTCTAAATCCATTTGTCACAATCTCAGCTGGGTTATTTATTCACTGACACTCTAATCCAACAGTTGCATATTGCTACACAATTCTAGTTTGCCATGATGGTGGGAAATGCTAAGGGGAATTCGAAGGTAATTTCTACACGGGTAACAACGATTTTCAGCCAGGGCTTTTTTCCTGGCGGAACACGCCGGAATGGAGTTCCAGAACCTCTTTGACAAAATTATTTAAAAGTTTAAGAGTTCAAGAGTTTTCAGTGTACAGATTGAAAACTTCATTTCCCTCTTGAGAGTTCTGACCCCTCTTTTTTTTTTTTGAAGAAGCAGCCCTGATTCTCATTATGAAACAGATGAGACACGCACCTGGATTTAAAAAAAAAATAAATATATATATATTTGGAAGTCTCAATGAGGGTCGTGCAGTTTACTCCAAAGAGAGTGACATAGAATTGCAGTCTGAGTTTGGAATATATTCCCAAATAAACATGCACAAGAACTGCAATTCGACCCCTCCCAGGCATTTTAACACCAATCTCTCCCTGACTTGACTGGCCCTTACCCCCAAGTACGCCTGAAGACCCAATCCAGTATAGGCCTTTAAAGGTAAAGGTTCCCTTGCTCGAAAGCCAGTCGAATCCGACTCTAGGGTTGCGGTGCTCATCTCCGTTTCAAAGCCGAAGAGCCAGCGCTGTCCGAAGACGTTTCCGTGGTCATGTGGCCGGCATGACTAAACACCAAGGCGCACGGAACGCTGTTAGGCCTTTAGGCGGACATAAAACTGAGTACAACACAGCTTGACCCCAAAGTAAATCCTTTACGAACAACAAAGTTTAATTCTGGGTATAAGCTTCCGTGTGCATGCATACAAAAGCTTATACCTTGAATAAAACTTTGCTGGTCTTAAAAGGTGCCACTGGACTCAAACTTTGTTCTGTTGCTTCAGACCAACACAGCTACCCACCTGAACCCAAGTAAATCCGTTTAAAACTGCAGACCCCAATCTAGGGACATACTAAAACTAAGGACAACCGATTGCCCATAGGGAATAATGAAGAGTAGGCTTGCCCATAGGGGATAATGGAGTACATAATTGCCAGTGGAGAATCCATGATTGCCCATAGGGAATAATGGAGAGTAGGCTTGCCCAGAGGAGATAGTGCAGTACATAACTGCCAATAGAGAATCCATAATGCCAATAAAGAATCCATGCCTGCCCATAAGGAATAATAGAGAGGACGCTTGCCCATAGAGGATAATAGAGTATATAATTGCCAATAGAGAATCCATGATTGCTCATAGGGACATAATTCCCAACAGAGAATCCATGATCGGCCCATAGGGAGTAATGGAGAGTAGGCTTGCCCAGAGGGGACAGTGCAGTACATAACTGCCAATAGAGAATCCATGATTGCCCATAGGGAATAATGGAGAGCAGAGCACACCTGACCATAGGGTATAATGGAGTCCATGCCTCGCACAATGAATAAGGTAGACCACGCTTCGCACAATGAATAAGGTGTAATGACCTCTCGTGTGTGATGTCCGAGTGGCAACACTGCTCGGACATCACACGCGAGAGGCGGAATTTGCCCCTAGGAGTCCAATGCCACCACCACCCCGCAGCCATTGCAGCTGCCGCGCGAGCGATGGTGACCATAACTGTTTAAAGAGCCCCTAATGAGAGCTGGGGGAGCCGAAATGACCTCTCTTCATTGATTTCTTTCCTTTCCCATATAAGGATGGACATCACACACAAGAGGCGGAATTTGCCCCTAGGAGTGCAACGCCACCAACGTTCAGGGAGATGAGGGAACATTTCACCCCCGTGGCCGTTGCAGCTGCTGCGCGAGCGGCGGCGGTCATAACTTTTTAAAGAGCCCCTAACGAGAGCTGGAAGAGTCGGAATGACCTCTCTTCGTTGATTTCCTTCCTTTCCCATATAAGGATGGACATCACACACAAGAGGCGGAATTTGCCCCTAGGACTCCAAGGCCACCTCCCCGGGCCTCAGGGAGACGAGGGAACGTTTCACACACGCACACCCAGCCGTTGCAGCTGCTACCGCAAGCAATGGCGACCATAACTGTTTATAGAGCCCCTAACGAGAGCTGGAAGAGTCGGAATGACCTCTCTTCGTTGATTTCCTTCCTTTCCCATATAAGGATGGACATCACAGGCGAGAGGCGGAATTTGCCCCTAGGAGTCCAACCAACGCCACCACCCCGGGGCTCAGGGAGACGAGGGAACGTCCCCCCTCCCCCCGCGGCCACAACTGTTTAAAGAGCCCCTAACGAGAGCTGGGAGAGTCGGAATGACCTCCCGCGCGTGATGTCCGAGCGTCTCAAATTCGCCTAAGAGCACAAGCAGATAATTTAAGTTTATTTGGGATCGAGCTATTCATATCCCCACGCAGCCCAAGCCTAATCATTCTTACATCGGAGAAGTCCCGATCACCGCGGATCTATTGACCCCGCGCGTCTGCCCCGCCGCCTCCTCCTCCAACCCGGTAGTCGCGTTGCTAGGGCCCCGTTAGCAACACGGGGGGATTACGTCATCACAGCTTTCCCTTTGCTGTTCCAGATTTTGCGCCGGAAATGCTTGTCTTCCATGACCGGAAATCTCTTTGTTGTGGGGGAAACCAGGAAGTGTGAGGAGGACTCTGAAGGGGCGCGATGGGTTGCGATGGGGGAACCATCCCCAAGAGGCACGAGCTGGTGAAGGGGCCTCGTAAGATCGAAAAGGTAAAAATAGGCATGGGAAGGGGCGAGGCGCCAGGAGAGGGGCACTCTGGGAATGCCCGTAAACTTTTCACTATTCTGGAAGGGTGAAGCTCCTCTATCCCCTCACCTTGTTCCCTTCCTCTCCTTGCGTCCTCCTGAAAGTACATACTAGGGGAGAATTATTGACTGGAAAACGGGAGACGACGGAACACTTGACGGAACAGTGGTCTATCAGTGGTATTAACCACAAGGTATAGATAGGAACTCTCGGTCTGGGGCAAGCGATGCTCTGTATTCTTGGTGCTTGGGGTGTGTGTGTGCAACAGTGGGAGGGCTCCTAGTGTCCTGGCCCCACTGCTGGACCTCCTGATGGCACCTGGTATTTTTGGCCACTGTGTGACAGAGTGTTGGACTGGACGGGCCACTGTCCCGATCCAACATTGGCTTCTCTTATGTTTCCGTGTGACAGTTTCTCTCCCTGTCCACTGAAATCTTATAGTATTGCCAGCTCCCCCTTGGTAAATGCCTGGAAATTTGAGATGCGATATGGAGAGGGACCTCAGCAGGGTAAAATGCCATAGAGACTTGCCCTCCAAAGCAGCCATTTTCTCAGTGTTGTCTGGAGATTAGTTGTAATCCTGGGAGATCTCTAGCCCCCAACTAGAGGTTGGTAACTCTGCCCTGAAAGGAATGAAGCTTCTTAGGTTCGTTTCACACATTCTGTTGGGGGGGAAGCTGCTGAGCTGGACTTCATATGCTGGTTTGATACTATCAGACTTGTACTCAGTAAGAACTTGAGATAGCATGGTAGAAAATGTAATTGTAGCTCCTTACAAGTTTATGCACACTCTTCAGATCCATCACACTTCACCAGTTCTTTTGTTGTTGGAGGGGTCCAGATCCCCACACAGTGGATCATTGACTCTTTTGACTGGCTTTTGTTTTCCTCCATGCTCTTGTAATGTAGTATCATGCAGCTTGGCTAGAAAAATGGGGCAGCTGAACATCCTGCTCTGCATGGGTGAATTTGTCATCACTGCTCGAAATGTCAATAATTATGCAGATGATTAGTTTAAGTAGCAGTAACCATATACTTGTCTGCTATTAATTATTTTGTATGTGTTTGTCTTTTTAAGCACATTTAATATGAATTGTTTGTTAGAGGTGGGTTTCTAGAGTGTGATGAAAGATGGGTGTAAAATGTGTTTGCTTTGAGCAAAGCTTTGCCTTCTTGACATGCATATTTTACTCCTCAGGTTGACAAAAATGCAGAATTAGTGGCCCAGTGGTATTACTGCACTCTGAGTCAGGAAAAACTAAGCAGACCTATAGTCGCATGTGAGCTTGGCAGGTATGATTGTATTTTTCCGTCTTTTAAAATAATCCTAATTTTAGTTGTGAAGTCCCATTTTCACAGTGCTTTTCTTATTATAGGCTGTATAACAAAGATGCAATCATTGAATTTTTGCTGGATAAATCTTCTGAGAAAGCGGTTTTGGAGGCTGCATCCCATATCAAGAGTATTAAGGTAAGACTTTCTGTATTGAAGGCTATGTCTGTTGTGCTCAGGCCAGAGACAGTTAATTGTGGCTGATTTCTCAAAATATGATCAGTTTATTTTAAAGAGATTTAGAAGCACCAGATTTCTCTAGAATCATACCCCTTTGTAAAATGAGGTGACCACGAGGTGTGTTTTCTCTCTCTCCCTAATGTTCTATGTACTTCTCCTTGGTCCTTTAGTTGATCTTGCTTCTTGCCCCTTTTGTCATGACATTCCTGATGTCTTAAATGGCCCTCTACCTGTCTGAGATTCATCTTCAGAATCTTTTCATCCTTACTGTCTTGTCTAGAGAGCTCACAGCCTCATGGTTTCCTCATGAATCCATGTCTTCCTTTTTCTGTCTGCTCCAGAAGCTCGTCTTGTGTTCTTAAATCAACCCCACCCCCCAAAGCATCAGTCACTTGAGGAAGTTCCTGGCCATTCTGGCTTGCATTTTCTTTTGTCATTTTGTTCTTTAAGAGCGAGAAGAAGCTGTACTTGTCTCCAAGTCTTCTTTCAAAGTGCAATCCCAAGGTCCAGGTTTTTCCCCCCAGTAGGTGTTTGTGATGTCCTGCTTATTGGGAAGACTGTTTCTCCTTTAAAATACACTCTGTGTACATGAGCTTTGTAGATTTCTGCTGCCACCAGGAATTAAAATTCCAAATCTCTATTTTGGTTGAATGATCCAGTGTCTGGGCGCTTCAGAGGACTATGTGGCCCTGAGGAAGGACTGTTCTGATTGCTGGGATAAGTTTAAACAAATAATGATTTATTTATAAATTGTTGTTGAAGGAAGAAAATATAACTGACAAAGCTTGGCATCACACACAGTCTCTTATACACCAAAGTCAACTCTGACAGACTTATCTTTCTCTCTCTCTTATATAGCCCCACAGGCTAAACTCTCTTGCTAATATAGGCCCACAGGCTAAACTCTCTTGCTCATATAGCTACACAGGCTAAACTCTCTTGCTCATATAGCCACACAGGCTAAACTCTCTTGCTCATATAGCCACACAGGCTAAACACCAACTACTGCTTCTGTCATACGAACTCTCACAAAAACTCTCCACACTCCTCTCTTCAAGAACACAGAATCGCCTCAGAGACATCTCTCCTCCCACACTCTCAGTCATCAGCCAATCACATCACACTTATCTCCCTCTATCACTCGCCTTACATTACTGCAGTCACACTAAACATTTAAAGAACCACACACACCAAAACATGAAATCATTACAGTGTTCCTTTGGGGCTTCACTGAAAAGGTCATGTCCCTAAGCAATGCTAGAGGTGCAACGTCAAGTAGAGTGTAATGAAATTTATGCTTGTGTCCTCACTAGGAGCTCCAGGCAGCAGCTTAGTCTTTCAGAGTATCCATTCTTCTCCCCCCTGGGAGGAAGGCAAAGCTAGAGGTTGCAGAGCTGCAGGAACCTTAGCAAGCATAGGGAGGGGTGAGGCAGGGAGAGATGTCTGCTTCTCAGCCTCCCGTCTGATGCTTTTTCTCTCTTCTTGTCCGTTCTATTATCCTGTGCCCCCTATTACCTTTCTCCTGCTTTTTGGGCAGAATCTAGTGCCAGTTCTGTTGTCTCTGTCACGTTTTAGCACAGTATTGTTAAATTATTATATGGTAAGCATAGAAGTCAGGAGGGAAGGTAGCATGTCTGTGACCCGCCCTGAGCCCGCTTTTGTGGAGGGGGAGGGCTATAAATCGAAACATAAATAAATAAATGATATAACCCAGCTCATCAGATCTTGGAAGTGAAGCAGGGTCGGTACATGGATGGGAGGTCAACAGGGAAGACTCTGCAGAGGAAGGCAATGGCAAGCCACCTCTGTTTCTCATGTGCCTTGAAAGCCCCTTGCTGGGGTCACCATAAGTTGCTTGTGACTTGATGGCACTTACGTACACAACAGTAGAAGTCGGGCATTAATACTTAGGGTGTGATCAGACATCAACACCAGTACTTCAAGAACCATTGTTGTGGCTTGTTTAAGTGATCTTTATTCTATCCTTCCTTCAAGGAGCTAAGAGCAGCATACTTAGTTCTCCCCCACTTTATACTTACAACAGCCTTGGTATCTAGGTCAGGCTGAGAAGTAGTGACAGGTCCAAGGTCTGCTCCTAAGTGTAGTGGAAGAGTGAGGATCTGAACTCTTGTCTCCCTCATCCTGGTCCAGTACTCTAATCTTTATTCCACACTAGCTTGCCTCCATTGGCTGAAGTTTTAAAAACCAGTAAGGCCTGTTAGAACTGAATATGTCTGTCAGCTGGGAAACAGGTTCCATCACTTGTTTTGCACAGACTGTTTTTTCATTCTGGATTAGGACTTCAGCCTTAAGTAATTCAGCATATGATTTTATTAATGTTTGAATGGTAGAGAGGAGGCTCGTGGTATTTTTGGTTGTGCCGTGCAAGTTACTTGAGTGAAAGGCAGCCAGACTGAGACTTCTGTGTATTCTCTTTCAGAATGTCATTGAACTGAACCTCACCGACAATCCAGCATGGACAGGTGACAAGGGGAACACGAAGGGAGATAAATACGATGACATCCAGAGTGCACGTTTTATTTGCCCTGTCGTGGGACTGGAAATGAATGGAAGACATAGGTTAGTGTTTTCTGTTAAACTGCAAAGAAATATGTATTCTGGGTCATTTTCTTCCCTTAGCAGATTCTGGTTCATAGAGTTCAGCATTTTCTTCATCAGTTAATTTGATTATGATCTATCTGGATCAATTTTTAGCTTGCATCTCCATTTTACAAATCAGGGGCTGGCAGCTGAGCCCAAGAAGTATGTATTAGAACAAGATCCAAGTCCCCGTAGCTCCCCAGAATAAGGGCTTTTTCATATCAATGACTGTCTTTCCCAGTAAAATCAGTGGAAAACAGCATGCCCTGGATTCTTATGTCACTAACATCCTGTGACTTTTTGTTACATTTTATATGCTGAACTTAAACCTACGCTACCATGAAGTATCAGGAGTCGATAGTATTAGACTGAAACAAGTAAAATATCCAGTGGAGCTGCTAAAGCTCCCAGTTCTCTCCTGGCTTGATCCTAACTCCCACTCATTGCAGTCTTTCTACAAGATACTTAGTAGGTGTCAGTGAGTTTCTGTGACGACATTAAGTGTCAGTGGGATTCCATTGAGCATGCCTGTTCTAGAGGACTCGTTCCAGGTTTTGAGGGGCCCCTGACAGGCAGTGCCCAAAGGGCCCCCTCATGCCTTCCTTTTCACCCCTACCTGTCAGGAGTTGTTATTAACAAAGACAGGTTGGACAAGAGCAAAACACCAAAGTGCTGGAGAATGAGTCCTCACATCCCAGGGTACATAGCCACTGCCAGTCCCTTTAACGATAACCCTTCAGCCAAGAGACCAAAGGACAGTCTCCAGCCCTACTGGGTCTTAATCAAGAAGTCAGCATGGCAAGGTGGGACACCTGCAAGTTGAGTTCCATCTGTGCCAGACTTCCATCTCTTCTTTATCTTGCTCTCTGAAGCTGCAGTCAGATGATGATTTCCCCAAAAGAGGGAACAGCTTCTATGATTTTATGAGCCTGAAGCCTGAACCAGTGTTTCTGAAGATCCAAGAGACTGCTAGGCAAGCCAGTCTCTTGACACTACCCACATGCATTCCACCCATCTGCCTGTGCATCCTTCTCCCATTTTGCAAGCCCTTCTGTGCTCAGTTTCCTGCACTGCCTGCACATCTTTTCATTGACTGTACTGGCCAGTGCATGCAGTTGGGAGATTTGTTGCTATGGCCACCAGGAGCACCACCAGTGTTCGCCACCCATGTGCCTTTCTCCAATGATGCTTGGGAGCAAGGGTGGCAGAGCACTTCAAGCAAGCAGATGGGGAAGGGCATGCAGACGATTGGCAGGGCATGTGTGTGAGTGGGGGTCAGTGGCGGCACCCCAGCAGAAGCCCTGGGCAGCTGCCCCATTTCAAGGTTTGCTGAGGCCAGCCCTGCCTCTCTGTATACCTCAGCTGTTCATGCATAGTGCATCGATTGCCATTGCATCAGGAATGTGACACGTTGGGCCTTCAATGTTGGGATTAGTACAAGACCTTGGCCAAGGAATTAACAGTATCGAATGCTTGAATTGGACTAGTAAGCCCCAAATGCTGAGTGACAGTACAATATGCTGCCTAAGCTAATTGTACAGCGAATTTTATCTTGGCTGTGTCCCTCATGAGGAAACCATGTGTGTGAATTAGTTGGCTGAGCAGGTGTCACATGACCACGGGTGCAAGTGAGAGCCAGTGGAAGATGCACAACCCAGTCTGATCCTTTGTTGCCATGCTGAAGCAGTGCAAAGCTGTGTGGTGGACAGAAGCTTCTACCGTGGGCTTGGTGCTCATATGCACATTTTCCCCTTTACGCTGCTTTTTAGCATACTAGCAACTTCTGAAACTGAGAGATCTATACAAGTGGGTGTGATTGCTTCATTTTTAATTGCTTATTTACTGCTGGTTGTCCCTGGCCCAAGGGCCATCTGCTTAGCCTCGACCAGGGCCAGGGCTTTTTCTGCCCTGGCCTGATGGAACATGCTCATCTCTGAGATCAGGGCCGTGCAGGACTTACTACCATTCCACAGGCCCTGTAAAATGGAGCTGTTCCACCAGGCCTTTGGCTGAGGTGGTGGGCGTCCACTAAAATCTCGCCTGCCCCCCACTAAAGCTTACCATCTCTACGTGGCTCAGATCAAGAAGATTCTAGAGACCAAACGACACCAGCTTGAAATCTATGTATATAGTGTGACCTGTTTTTCAATCTATACTGTTTTAAGCTGTTTTAATTGTTCTGGAAATTATATTGATATGTATTGAAATTTTCATGATATGTTTTAGATTTTGCTCTGTGATCCGCCCTGAGCCCACTTGTGGGGAGGGCAGAATGTAAATTGAAACAAACAAATAAAATAAAGTCATTGCACTGCTGCGGTAATGCCAGCTGCCATTCTGTATAGTCCTTTTCTTACCGTGTACTTTCACAGATACCCACAAGGGGGAACTTTTGCGTATACCAACTGAATTGCCGGTTACTGGCAGCTAGGCTGTGTAGACAATGAAAAGCCCCCAGTCTGTTGCTTACAGATTGTGGCCTAGTTGTGGTTTGGAACCCTTGTGCTGTACTTGGAAGCAAATCCTATGAGTTTAAGTAGGACTTCTTTCCAGGTGAGTGTGCATAGGATTACAGCCTGGGTCCCATGGAGGGCGGGGTATAAATTCCACTAATAAATAATAAAAATAAATAAACATTAGTTGTAGCTAGTTTAAACTGGATGGCTCTCTGTTCTGACTTTAGCTAGCTTGAACCTCTGCTTTCTGTCTGCTAACATCTATTTTTATTTGATTTTTATTCTTGCAAGGTTTTGCTTCTTGCGGAACTGTGGGTGTGTGTTCTCTGAGCGGGCTCTCAAAGAAATTAAGACAGAAACCTGTCACAAGGTAAGTGATATTTTTGTCTATCCTCTTCCTCCTGCCAAGTTACCTCTTGTAAATTTGTGCTGTGCTCCAGACCAGAAGTGTGTACACTTACGTCCTTTTAAAAACAGTGAGACATGAAACTTGTGTAAATTCTGGTTAGATTGCTGCTGGGAATTGGTAAAATTAGGATTATTTTTGTCCCTGGATTTCATCTTTTGTGCTCTGAGTTCAGTGAGAGTGTTTATCGTAAAAACAATTTTGGCTTTTTGCGTTTAATGGCATAATGAAAGTAATGCAAGACGGTCACCTTTCACTTGTTGTCTCAGTGGCGTCTGGTTTTCTTATGCTCTCGTGATCTGGGAGTCTTGCCTTTTCGCCTTTGCCTGTCTTGATCTCATGGTTTCATTCAGGTAGTGCAAGACATCCACGGACTTTATGGACTTGCTGCCTTTTCCTCCATTCTAAAAGAAGGAGGCCGTCTCAGGCTGGGGTCCCCAAAGGGGTGGCTGTGGGCACCATGATGCCCACCAAGTGTTTCTAGAAAGTGGGCGGGGACAGATTGGGCTTTTGCCAGCAGGCCTTCTGATTGGCCATTGGAGATCTGATTGGCTGTGCACAGGGCTTTTTTTGTAGAAAAAGCCCAGCAGGAACTCATTAGCATAATAGGCCACACCCAACAACAGAAACTCATTAGCATATTAGGCCACACCCATGACAGCACAGCTCATTGGCATATTAGGCAACCCCCCGGGAATGGCAGGGGCCGGGAAAGGCGGGGGGGGGGTTAGCTCTGCAACTTACCTCCCTACTTCTTGCTCCTCGTGGCCTGACTGAGGGCTGCTGGGAGCAGGGGGTGGGGTTTGCTGCATGTGCCCACTCCCTGGGCTTGGAAGCCAGCCCGAACTCCGTTCCTGTGCGTTCTTGCCCCAAAATAGCCCTGGCTGTACAGATTAACAGAATTGCTCCAGCAGCAGCTGCCACCACAGCACAAGGGTCCTCACCAATGCTCCCTCTAAGCTGTGGAGTCTTGTGAGCAAAAATCCTACTTTGTGAACTACTGGCATTAAAGTTGTGAGTGAGCCATTTGGCTGCTGCATAAATCAGTTTGCTTTGGAGCCATCCTTCCTGAGCGAAGAAAAAAAAGCTGTGAGCCAGAGGCTAAAAAACTGTGAGCTAGTTCACACTAACTCAGCTTAGAGGGAACACTGGTCCTCACCGTGTGACTGAAGGCAAGCTATGTGAATGCAAGAAAATATTTTAAAAGAATATCTTCATTTTTAAAGGCATCCTGTTAAACTCAGCTTCTGCCTGAACAGTGAAGCGTTACTACTAGAATTATGCACAACTTCACTCCTTGACGGTGTGCAGTTGGCTCCACTTCCAGCGGCAGCCATTTCGTGGTTGTGCCCACCACCCTGTGTCAGAATGCCAAAGGTGCCCACAGGCTCAAAAAGGCTGGCTACCCCAGCCTAAGAATCCAAAACTGTCTTTACACTTTACTTTCCTCGCTCCTGACCTCCCTGTGCCTGTTCTCTAGCCTGACATAACTGCATCTTCAGCAACTGGGATTTTGTAACCCTGCCCCTTCCCGCATTCATTGATCCAAGTAGGGACAGGGACGGCTGTGCAAACTGACTGATCATAGAGGTGTCACTAATAGACTGTAGTTTAGACAAATGAGTGTCCTTGGAAAGCTCAGTCATCACTCACAGAAAGTTTCCAGGATATGGTTCAGTTTGTTTTTCGTGAGCTGCACGTTTCATGTGATTCTTTGGTGTGGGCTCCCCCACCCCCCCATAGCTGTTGTATGGCGCTTCAACTTAGAACTTGCTTTTGTGAACACAGGCATCATGGTGATGTGATGTCTGTGTGAGTGTATATTGGATTCTGTGTGTGAAACTAAATGTAGACTGGAAAGGGTGAAGAAGGTGTCACCTTTCTGGAGTAGCCTCTTCCAACACTTTGCGATAGCTGAAGGAATAAACTGCTGGTTTCAAGATACATTTGAGAAGCAGGTCAGTGATTTGCAGGGGTTGTTTCATAGAAAAAGAGCTAGGGGAACGCATTAGCATAACTCATTAGCATATGCCACACCCCCTGGCATCACCGGAAGTGTGTCATAAGGCCACACCCCCTGACATCACTGGAAGTGTGTCATAAGGCCACACACCCCGCCCCCAACGGTCCCGGCCACCGCCAGCCTTGCAGGTCCACCGCTGGGCCCCTCATAGGCCCTCCCTGGCCCCAGGCAGGCAGGGGTGGGGAGAGGCAGGGAAGAAGCAACTTACCCTCCCTCTTCTCCTGCCTCCTCCTGGCTGAATGAGGGCCGGAAGTGGGGCGGCCGGAAGCAGGGGGCGGGGCTTTGTCATGTGCCCCGCCCCCCGTACCTCACCCGGGGGAACTGCGATCCCCCGCGATCCCCCCCGAAATGACCTCTGGTGATTTGTAGTCTACCCTCCCTACCTGAAGGTCATGTTGTCGCAGGGACTTGGGCAGAGGGTGTTCTCTGGATCTGTTTGTACAACCGTGGCTAGGATCACTTGGACCTTGGGATTATACCATTAATCAGTAGTAGAACAGCTGCCTGACATGCTGAGCATCCCAGGTTTAGTCCCTGGCATTTCAAGCTGCAAAACATCTCAGATAGTAGATCTGGGAAATACCTCATTGACCCATAAAACAACTACACAACCTGTGCTGGAATTACCCCCAAAATTCAAATTAATGACGTTGGATCACATTTGTATGCTTTTGATTGTGTATCGTATTATGAGTTCACATACCTATGGAATTCAGAGAACTGAACACATGAAGCTGCCTGATACTGAATCAGATCATTGGTCTACTGAGGTCAGTATCGTTTATTCAGACCGGCCGTGGCTCTCCAGGGTCTCAGGCAGAGGTCTTTCACATCATCTCCTGCTGGTCCCTTTACTCAGTTTTTAAACTATTGTAAGCCGCCCTGAGCCGCCTAGACAGGAGGGCGGGGGAAAAGTCTAATAAATAAATAAATAAATATAAACAAACTGGAGATGCCAGGGATTGCAAAGCAGAGGCTGTACCACTGAGCCACAGCCCCTACCTTTTCCCACTTGCATGGAGCTGTAGACAGCAGTTATTTTTTTTTTTTAACAGGGCTCTGTTGAGGAGCAATTCTGAGAGAACAGGGCTTTGCCTGCTTTCCGAGGTTCCTAGTGGCTCTTTCTATTTCCATTGTTGGCATCCAGCTCCAGGCCCCCAAAAGCAGGTGAAGACCTAGGTGTGGGCCTTCGTTTCTACTCCACCACTCTTCATGGCCCTCATCCTTAAGTACTTCTTCACCCAAAGAGTGATTAACACTTGGAATTCACTGCCACAGGAAGTGGTGGCGGCTACAAGCATGGACGGCTTCAAAAGGGAATTAGATATGGAGCAGAGGTCCATCAGTGGCTATTAGCCACAAGGTATAGATAGGGACTCTGGGGCAAGTGATGCTCTGTCTTCTTGGTGCTTGGGGGGGGTCAACAGTGGGAGGGCTTCTAATGTCCTGGCCCCACTGGTGAACCTCCTGATAGCACTGGTATTTTTGGCCACTGTGTGATACGGAGTGTTGGACTGGATGGGCCTTTGGCCTGATCCAACATTGGCATCTCTTATGTTCTTATGTTCTTTGAGTTGTTTTAATGGTGTCTTTGGGAGCACTTGATAAATGTTGACAGAAGGCAAATGTGTTGTAACGTTTACGTTAGAGTGTTGGGCTAGGATCCGGGAGACCAGGTTCAGATCCCCACTCTTCCATGAAGTTTGCTGGGTGACCTTGAACCAACTGCTGTGTCTCAACATACGCTACTTCCCAGGGTTGATGTGAGGATAAAACAGGGAAAGGAAGACCTATGTACACCACTCTGAGTTCCATGGAGGAAGGGTGGGGAAAATTGTACTAAATAAATAAAATTTAATCAGTTTGAGGGCTGAATGAAGGGCTGTTGTGGGACATCTGTGTGCAGATCTTTGAGAAGATGTTTCAGGAGCAATGCCACCACAGCACAAGTATCTTTGCTGCATGACTCAAGACAAGCTGTGTGTATGCAAGGAAATATTTTTAAGCAATGTGTTTATTTTAAACATCCCGTCAAGCAGAGCTTCTGCCTGAAACGTTGAAGATTTACTATTAGAGTTATGTGTGACCTCACTCCCTGATGTTTTGTGGTTGGCTCCGCCTCTTGTGGGAGCCATTTTGTGGTTGGCTCCGCCTCTTGTGGGAGCTGTTTTGCAGCTGCACCCACCACCCTCTGTCAGAATTCCAAAGGTGCCCTCAGACTTCAGAAAATTGGGGACTCCTGGTTTATGGGAATATTTGGACTATTCCAGTCAGAATCGTGCTGACAGTTTTTTTACTCAGTTGGGCTGCATTGTTATTCAGCCCCAGGCTTGGTAGGACTTCGGAGGCGTCACACCTTCTCCTCACAGCTCGAGCTGATGTAGCAGCACTGTGGTTCTTACAGTGTAATTGGCGTGTGCTTAGGTGCCAAGGTGGTGGTGGTCGTGGATTATGGATTCACCTCCTGGTATCACAACAGCACCAATACAGCCTCTAAATAATTCCTTTTAAAAGCTAGCATCCTGTCATGATGGATGCCGGGGAGTTCTGTATGCAGTAATAATTTATAGTTGTTTCTATTAGCTGTTCACAAGATGAGTTTGATTTCATCATGAATGTATCATTGTAGGAGTGTAATATAGTTTGCCCTTTACACAGAGACTTAAATGAGGTGACTGTTGATTGTAAGCAGGGAATTGTTTTCTAATAAATAAATAAAATATATCTAAAAAAAACATTTCAAAGTAAAGATGAGAAGGGGATACAGAAATGAAAAAGGAGCTTTATATCACAATTATGTATATCAGAAAATAATTATGTAACTATGGGAAAAAAGGACTTCTCGCCAATGCTCCTTTCATTATATTTTTTAAAACACCATCTATAAAATACAATAGTACTTCCTTCTCTTGGGGTACATATATATTTAACATTTTGGATT